CTAAAAAAAAAACAAAAACGTATAGCGTATAACACTAGTAGGTCACAGAGTACTAATGAATAAAAATCGTGAGTTAATACCACTAACAAGGCTAAAATAGCCCCACACTAACACAGTAAAATGACTTCATGCAAAACGAAGCATTGAGAACGTTGTAAGTGTACAGACCGTTTAGTAAGAAGAAATTTTATAAAGACAGTCCACTTCACGTATACAGGCAGCAGCCATCTTTGGAATACAGTCTCGACCAGTCAAACCACGAACGATGTTCATACAGTTTAAGCTCACTTGGCACGGCATTCGTGGTTCGACTTGTCGAGACTTTGCGCTCCTGTACACTAACGCTAAGCATATGAACACTTTCAAAGTTCTCAATGCTTCAGTTTTGCATATAGGGACCCTCATCATGTAAGTGTGGGGCCATTTTGAGCCTTGTTAGTGGTATTAACTAGCGATTTTTATTTATCATTACTATATGCCCTATATAGTAGCATTATACGCTAAACAGTTTTTAGAGATAAAACTCTTTACATTTGATTATCATGAAAATAAATCTCAGAGAACAGTCCATGCGCTGGAGTTCTCCTTTAAGCATTTCAAATGCCTAAAAGTATTCAAAAATGTATTTTACCCTACAGATATTTCAATACAAGAACATTTTGTTTTAAAAAGTTAAATCTAATTAATTCATTACCTTCAATTAGTCAGATTCAGTTAAAAGAAATTAACCAGGGATATTTTTAACACTAGAAAAGATAGGCAAACAGTACAAGTGTAAAGATAACAATAACAACATGTTAAAAATAACTTTTGGAAAGGGTACAAAAAAAAGAGACAAAAACTAACGTTCAGTGGTCACTCGCACTGGTGATGTGTCTCAACCGTTCCCCTCTAACCAACGTGCGCCATTTCTCTAGATTATGCAATAATCTTGCATGATGACACAACGTCATGGTGAAATATGACCGTTTTTAGACCACAGAATAACGTTGACAGTGGTATAATTTAAACTAAACAGTCATAAAATGATAAGCTATTCATTGTGGAAGGGACATTATGAAGTAAAAACTTACCTTGGGGGGAAAACGTTTGCTGATCTATTTTCAGAGGGGAAAGTCTTTCAAACTTCCCACGGTCAAAGAGCACGTGCACGTTGCTCCCGAAGTAATTTAAGCTGTTTCAACCATAGACATAAAATGGTTTCAACTGTACACATGTCCCAGCTAATTTAAAGGGAAACAATTACCACATAACCGAACTAAACAAATCCACTGAATAATCACTGATGTTTAATGTTGCTTGCTTTCCCTCCAAATTATGTCTCCTTCGTCTTTTTTCTTTTAATGGCGGTTGGCAAACAACTTTTAAGTGCGCATTACCGCCACCCTCTGATATGGAGTGTGGATCACAATAGACTTTTCTCACTACCCTTGACGTAAATATATAACTAAATACATACATCCATAATAAAACCAATAAATAACCAAATGATGTAATTTCCTTGATGACGATGCCATTTTGGAATAGAGTGCCGAAGTGATGGCGTCACTTTGTATGACAACTCGGAAGTTAGCAGCGCATGGATTCCGTCTAAGATGAGTTCCCTCGATCGAAAATTTTCCCAATAGACTTTTGGAAAATCACAAAAAATTAAGATCTGTGTTCAACAAAGAGTTGTGACCCTTACCCGTTTGGTCTATCAAGATAATTTTTTACAAGTTTATTACATTTATTACACTTTACAAGTTCCAACATCCCTTGGGAACGTGGCTGGGGAGGGTTTTTAAGATTTCCACTCTGGAGGATGGTTTCACTTTTTTGCGTTTTTAAGCCCCTAAAACGCCGTCGCAGTGTAAACGAAAAAGGCACATCCGATAAATTATTTTTATGTTTTCACCCGCGAGCATTCTCGTGTAAACAGGGGCTTTTTTCACCACAGACCTCATTTCAGGCGATTTAGAAAAAAAAAAAAAAAAACATTAAAAAATCCCATAGAGTTTAGAGAGGGAACCGGTAGTCCTAAAATGCTAACTCACGCGCGTTTCGGCCTAGAGAGTGACGTCGTAACTTCGGCACTCTGTTGTTGAGTGATTCTACCTATGTTATACACTATTTTGGCTTTAAAGACTTGTATTATTATTATCAAAATAGCGTTATAAGTAAACCTCTGGAGTGTATATTTTTTCTTCATAAATCAACAATTCTTCAATATTATGATGAAATATTTAAAACAGTAGCTTTCCCTTTTTTATCTGTAGCTGATGTTTTTAAGAATACATTAGTAGTTCATGTTCGTTATATTTAATGTATAACTATTTTTTTCTCTTTTCTGCATGCCTTCATACGTTTTGTACATTTTCTTAAAATTGTTTTAAGTTGTGCTGTTTATTATTTTAAAAAAGGAAATATAACAGAATATAGATACAGAACCCAAGAACATGACAAAAATGGTAACTTCTGTTCAATCCTTCTCAAATCCAAATTCATCCCCATGTTATTTCAGCTGCGAAACAAACGACAAATGAATATTTGTTTCTCTCAATATGTTAAGGCATATGATGATGCTGACGATAGGGGGGAAACTGGTGACCCACATGGCCAACAACGATAGGTTGGCATGGTGGAATTGATTTATAAAAATTTATTTATTTGTATTATTTTTTTTTCCAAGCAAGAAAACGGCATGAAACTGTATAAAGACTCGCATATGAACCTAGCCTTTGATCTGTGGCAATTTTTTAAATGCTTTAATCTTTATAAAAGCAAAAGCTAACCTTGAACTGTTTGTCCAGTCACTTGTGGATTTGAATGAAACATACAATAACCTCCAGTTCAATTAAAAGATTAAAAACGAGGGGGAAAACAACACACACCAGAAAATTTGCAATAGCTTTTAATGTGAGGAAAATATTGTCTTCTGCTTCAAGACAAGGAGATCGATGATAAATAAAGCATTACGTCTCAAACACATCTTACAAAATTAATCACAAATTAAACAGAATTTTACATTTAAACATGTTACACAAAATATTTACATCATATTAGTTCTTCCTTTTTTATTTAGCAAGAAAATATATGTACCTTAATGTACAAGTGAAAGTTTACTGTCCAAACAAAGATGAATGAAATGAAACTATACTCCTGAGAAAATGCTGGGTTATATTTTAGTGCACACCATCATTTCTTTAAGGCTAAACAACTTCAATTTACATTTATGTATGAGACATGTCAATAATATACTGCCTGAATTGAGTTTTCCCTGTCGCTTTGTTCCTGAGGACAAAAGTGTCACTGAAAGTTCTGTAAGGCCATAGTTTTCTTTAAATTATGAAACAAAAATTCATTTTGTGCGTGTGACGAAATAATAATTCCTGCATTGCGTCACTGTGTCTCCACTGACATCAAGTTATGTAAATCCATAGAGGAGCTTTCGATTATAAAATGCTTCTCTACCGCCCCCTCATGGTGGATTTAAGTCAGCGCACGTGAAAACTGCAACGCAAATGGGACTTTAAGAGCATGTCCTGCTTTTATAAAATAATAATAATAAAAAAAAAATTAATAAATAACTCCTAAAAAAAAAAAAAAAAAAAAATCAGGCCAACAGAAACAAAAGCCTGTATGCTTGTAGGTTGAATATTCATGTATGCTGAAATAGGTGGACACTTTGAGTGCAAAAACGGGGTGTTAAAAGTATTATTATTGACATTTAGATATGATACGGCGCATTCGATCCATAAGGGTGAATGTATAGGCTACGTACACTATCCAGTGTGGATGTTTATCTCCCTTACCTGTCCAGCAGGTAACTTTAAATATCCACCAGTATTTACAGCTTATCCGTCCTACTAAAGTCATAAAGTATTGAACGCAGAAGGATAAGAGAAACTCAAACTAACATGAAATGCATGGGTATGTTATACAATGCCCCCCAAAAAACTGTCCTTAGGGCATTATCTTTGGAATGCTAATGAAAAATTGATTGTCATCTTCGGGGTAACGTGTGAATGGTGTTAAAGTGCTCGGTGGCATTTCAAAGACGGGACTCCTTCGAGACCCTAAAATAGAAGACATGGGGAAAATGATGAACCACCTCTCTCCCCTAATCCGTTTAAATGTTAAAACTGTGATTAAATTTTAAATTGACGTTCTTGTGTGCAATAAGCCGAAATGATTTCTCTACCTAAAAAGTTGGCCAGTACGGGAAGTTACAATTGTTTACAGTTTTCTAAAACTTTTGGAGGAACAATTGATTTGTAACTGAGACACTGAAATTCAGACAATCTGTGTATTTTAGCAATGTATGGAAAGATGGGATGTCTAATAAACAAACATTTGAAAGCAAGTCTTAGATTTGGGTCTGCAGATTTGAAAATGATCTACAATTTGGGTCACTCTTACAGAAAACATGCCCACGTCACATTTATCCCCAAAATAAAATAATATTAGTAAAAATAATAAAAAAATAAAAAACATTTATATTTATATAACTATATATAACTATAACTATATATATATATATATATTAGGGCTGTGCAAAAATTAATTGTGATTAATCGCATCCAAAATAAAAGTCTGTGTTTACATAATATATTTGTGTGTGCTGTATATAATTATTTTGTATATATAAATACACACACATGCATGTATATATTTAAGAAAATTCATTATTCATATATAAAATATTTATATTTTTTATAATATAGATTATGTATTTATATACATATACAGAATTTAAGCACAAATGATTCTTAAATATATACATGCATGCATAGGTATTTATATATATAAAATAATTATATACAACACACTCAAATATATTATGTAAACACAGACTTTTATTTTGGATGCGATTAATCACAATTAATTTTTGCACAGCCCTAATATATATATATATATATGTGTGTGTGTGTGTGTGTATGTAAGTGTGTGTATATACACACACACATATATATATATATATATATATATATATATATATATATATTTATTTTTTTTTATTACAGTAAAAAAAATACTGTAATAAAATACTATATAACAGCAGTAAAACATTTACCATGCTATTTAAATATAACTCAAATAATATATTATTACGGTTTCTATTATTACTCTTTACTGTAATAAGAATTTGGGGGTAAATTGCTATTAAAACAATGCAATTATTCTAAAAAAATAAAAATTAAATAAAAACAATCCTAAAATCAGCTTTTTTATTTTTTATTCTGGGGTGTAACATGACATGGATACGTTTTGTGTGATTTATGACATTTTAAAAAAATGTAAGATGAGCCATAACTGCGGTATGCTGCTTCCTAAATGATTTGATAGAAAGTCCATGAGAGGGAAGGATGATGGGTAAATCAGCAGAAGAAGATCTCTCCGTCCATAGGAGGCTCTGCCAAGGGCAACAGATGTGATGCTGGAGACAAAAAAACCAACCTGAGATTAATACACTCACTGATTCAATATGTGCAAAAACATCCAAATGCAAACCCTTTCCTCCTGACGAATTTCCAATTCCTTTCAGAACGGATATGGAGGCTGTGGTTTGCAGGTTAACTGAATTAATTCGTTTTCATTATCTCTATTGAATTAGTGCATGAGAGTTTTCCGTGTTCACCTGCATCCTGAGGCTGGTTTTTGCTCTTCTTCTTCTTTTTGTCCTTTTTGTCCTTGGATGTAGCCAGCTGTAGCAGTCGTGTAGGCATTTGGTTTTGACCCTCTAAGCTCTGAGTTTTGCTGCCCAGGGAGAAGAGGCTGCGACCCTTCTGTTTGGAGTCAATCCTGGACAAAGAGTTCTTCCTGGGGCTGGACGATGACTCGCCCTCCCAGAGCTCTCGCTCTATAGAACTGCTGCTCTGGAGCTTTAGAGAGTCCTCCGATGTGCTGGAAGGGGTGCGCTGGAGCCGAGCCTGTGGCATAATAAATGATATGTTAATGTGAGTTAAAACTCAAATCAGAACGGGGTCAAAAAATGACAAGTTCAATCTCAAGCATCACAGGTCAACGTATCAAAGCATGACTGTCCAGTAGGAAAGCGCTCAAAACCGCAAAGTCCAAACTTTGCATTACTTCTGTTAGTCAGAGCGCAGATTTCTTTTAAGCCTGCCAGGAAAAAGTCATGTTTACAAAAAAAATATAAGTTTGGCCTATAAATACAAGTTTGTCTAAATTAAAAATAATATTATATATACCATATATGTACTTGGGGTTAGTCAGCTTTTTCTAAAAGAAATTATTACTTTTTCCCAGCGAGGAGGGACTAAATGGATCAAAAGTTACTTTAAAGTGAGTTTAAATATATTTTAAATCTATATAATATTGCACACTATTACTGCCTATATGGTAATTTTGATTAAAAAAAAAAACAAATAAATATATTTTTTTGTTTTTTTTTTAAATAAATTGCACACTTTTTTTCACAGTTTTTACTGTGTTTTGAAAGATTTTAAAGAGATTAAATGTTTGTTTTTTATCTTTAAATCGAGCACATACTTAATGCAGTATAGGGCTGTGCAAAAATTAATTGCGATGAATCGCATCCAAAATAAAAGTCTGTGTTTACATAATATATTTGTGTGTGCTGTATATAATTATTTTGTATATATAAATACCTATGCATGCATGTATATGTTTAAGAATTATTTGCGCTTAAATTCTGTATATATGTATATGTATATAAATACATAATCTTTATTATAAAAAATATAAATATTTTATATATGAATAACACATTTTCTTAAATATATACATGCATGTGTGTGTATTTATGTATACAAAATAATTATATACAGCACACACAAATATATTATGTAAACACAGACTTTTATTTTGGATGCGATTCATCGCAATTAATTTTTGCACAGCCCTAGTACAGTAATAACTGGCCGATAATAACTGATATGGTACCAGTATATTCTGCTTCTGTTATTTGTAGTTCTTTCTAGGATACTTGTTTTTAACTCACACATATAAAGTAGTCAATGTGAGAATGGTTAATTTTTAAATCAATATTTAAAGTAAACCTTCTAAATTCATCCAATTTTATTAAATCATTCACACTGTATTTTGGGGGGGAATTTATCAAATCAACAAAATATTTTAGTTGCTCTCAACACTAGAAAAAAACACTAATTTTCAATAAAACACTGCATAATGAAACATGATGGCCTTCAGATCTTTACATTTACATGTATTCATTTAGCTAACGCTTTTATCCAAAGCGACTTACATTTGTTATATATGTCAGAGGTCGCACGCCTCTGGAGCAACTAGGGGTTAAGTGTCTTGCTCAGGGACACATTGGTGTCTCACAGTGGATTCAAACCCAGGTCTCTCACACCAAAGGCATGTGTCTTATCCACTGCGCCATCACCGCCCCAGTATTCGGAGTGAATTATTATAATAAATAATGATTGATGAGCAATGTGCAGTTCAAGCCTCACCTCCACCTCCCGGAGGTGCTCCACTCTCTCCAGTTCCCTCTGCATCTGCTCCCTCTCCCTCTCCAGCCTCCTCTGAGCGTCCCTCAGTCTCTCTAGATCCCTCTGATAATCCTCCTTCCTTGCCAGCAGCTCCTGCTGTGCATCCTCCAACTCCTTGTTCCTCCTCCGCATCTCCTCCTCCCTCACGTGCACCAGCACCTCCCGGTCCGTCAGCTCCCGTTCCTTCACATCCCACTCCTTCTCCTTGCGCCGCTTGTCTTCGGCGTGGGCGGCTTGCTGGCGCTGCAGGGCGGTGGCTTCCTGACGGTGTCGCTCCAAGCTGCGCTGTTTCTCCTGCTCCACCAGCGAGGGGGGGCGAGAGGAGGAACGAGAGGAGGAACGGGACGGGGCGCGCTCGCTCAGGGCCTGACGCTGGTCCTCGATGAAAGTGTCCTGCTGCAGCACCACGGCCTGAGAACAAAACACATTTAAAACAAGACATTATATATTAAACACAACACTTGTGTCTGTTATATCACACTGGACCTGTGTATTTTTTTTGTCTCCCCTCTATCTGTACTTGTGTGTATAGGTCATTGGTCTATTACTTTGTATATGCAACTGTCTTGTTAATAAAAATAAAATAAAAACACTTGTAACTAGTATGAGGATACAAGTGTTCAAATTTATAAATATATATTCATGTTCAAATTTAAAAACATTCATTCATTCAAGTTTTTTTATAAAATCAATTTTATACAGAATCATGCAAAAATTAATTGCGATTAATCGCATCCAAAATAAAAGTCTGAAATAAAACTGTGTTTACATAATATATTTGTGTGTGCTGTATATAATTATTTTGTATATATAAATACACACACATGCAAGTATATATTTAAGAAAATGTGTTATTCATATATAAAATATTTATATTTATATAATATAGATTATGTGTTTATATATATATATATACACACAAAATTTAAGTACTTAAATATATACATGCATGCATAGGTATTTATATATACAAAATTATTATATACAGCACACACAAATATATTATGTAAACACAGACTTTTATTTTGGATGCGATTAATCGCAATTAATTTTTGCACAGCCCTAATATATATATATATATATATATATATATATACAGTATATATACAAGGCTTAAGCATTTAAGCATTTATTCATTTAGCTATATATATACAGTATATATATATATATATACACACAAGGCTTAAGCATTTATTCATTTAGCTATATATATATATACACACAGTATATATATATATATATATATATATATATACACACAGTATATATATACTGTGTATATATACTGTATACTGTGTATATATATATAGCTAAATATACTCTGTATATATATATATGTGTGTATGTATATATATATATATATATATATATATATATATATATATATATATATATATATATATGCAGGATATATATCCTGTTACGGTATATAAATAATAATTATTTATTTATTTATTAAATTTGACAGAAAAAAGTTAAATCCAGTATAATTTATAAATATGCATTCAGATTGATCTATATGATATCTATATAAATGGAAATTCATTAAAAAGTTAAGTAAAAAAGTAAAGTAAAAAAAAGTTACATATTCATTTATTTACATTATAATATACAGTATTATTATCATATCAATATCAGAATATTGTTAACCTTATATATATATATATATATATAGATGTAATGATATATATTAGTTAAGATGTCAGTTTTTTCAGATGATTCTTTTTTGGCACAACAGCCTATTTAATACTGTTTTCGAAACACACACCTGAAGTGAGGTCAGGAGGTCATGAAGGTGAGTGACACTACTCAGGACCTGCTGTCAGAAAACACAAGTCATTATGAAAGACTGTCATATGTTAAGTCTCACAACAGCAAGAAAAAAAGATACATCCCACAAATACATACAACTTATTAATATATAAATGTAATTCAAGGATGCCATAGGAAACAGTTATTATTATCTTTTTTACATGTTATCCAAGTCCACTGATACTTTGCCAGAAAGCTAAAAACAACATCCACAACCCCTGAGGATAACACCCTGAACTCTAAAAGAAGCATGTTCTTCTGTCTTACCTCGCTGTTTTTCTTCAGCAGGAGCAGCAGGTTGGCATTTCCTCCCTGTGGAGCAGACAAGCAGAGACTGCAGCTTTACTGAGCCCAGCTGAGAGTGTTTAATCAGCCCAGCATTAGGCCTGAGCCCAGCACACCACTGCTCATTACGCACATTAAAGAGTCAGGCCATGCTGGCCGCTCATAATGGACACTTATTCATTTTTCCACCCTCCACTGAGCTCTCACTGCACTAATGACTGCCATTAGCTACAAAACCTGACAGGATATAATCAGTGTATGCGTCTGTAGTAAACACTAAGTGACACTAGGGGGCAGTATGGGTGATATGATTAACTTTATTAAGTCAGATAGAATGCATATGTTTCATTATAATGACTATTTTTTTGGGACTTTTTTTTTCAATTTGACACTTTGTCAGCAAAAAATGTGGCTTTAATGAGTCACCATGAAAATTAACATAGCTAAATAATATTCATGAATAATATAATGACGTGATTCTGATCTAACTTAGTGCATTATGTTTCAGTTATGCATTATTTTAGCATTTTTTGGATACACAGCAAATTAATTTCAAGAAATGTGTTTTTTGAGCACTTTATTTATTGAACTTTTTTCATTGACCTCACAAACCCCTGCAGTTCCATCATTAACCCCAGTCTGGGAAATCCTGATGTAATGTTATATTTAATCCTGACCAATTTAATGCACATATTGCACGTTGTTAAAAAAATAAAAGAATGGAATATTTTTTTTTTCCTTTATATTTTTATATATTAATACAGTACAATATTTTCTTATTCAAATAGGTCAAAAGTAATCAGATTACATTACTTTAAACATGTATTGTAATGGTTTAAAATACTAACTACAATTTTTGTCATGTGATTTGGAATCAGTAACTGACTAAAATTTATAAGTGATCTACCCAGCATTGAGACTTTTTTTTTGTTAATGTGTCCTTGCTGAATAAATGTTTTAATTTCTGTCAATTAAAACATAAATATGAACACATTTTCAGATTTACAACTATGTTTACAGACTCACATATTTAAAGCGACTTACAATTGCTATGTATGTGAAAGGTTGTTTAAAACTCTATGTGTAAAAACTCTATGTGTAATCTAAATTATTTTATAATTATAGATTACAAATTGATTTACAACAATATACTTAAGATTAAAGATCTGTATATGTGGATAATTATATTTATACATTCAGAATCATGAACATAAATTGAGATGCTGACTGCGAAGACAAAAGCTCATTTCTTATTGGCTGGAGCACATGCCTTTTACCTTCTTTAGCACACTGTCAGATTCTGTCCTCCGAAGATCTTCGGCTTCCTCTTTGTCTCCATCTACAGACACACAAACACAATGACTAAGCAGGATCCAATCAGCAATCAATCATGCATTATATACAAAGGTTTATAGTTATTAACAATACTTCAGCGTTTGATAATCTTAGTTAAACTAATCTCAACATTTACTGATGTATTATAAAGATAAAAGTTACTGTGAACATAAACAACACGTAATAAATGCTTCAAAAATATATTGCTAATTGTTATTGTTAGATGAAGGAGAGCTACTATGCTTTTTTTAATATTTTCAGAGCTTTCTTTAGAGTGTAATGTTGCTGTTTGAACATAATAAGGGTCTGTAAAGTTACAAACTCCATGCATAACTCCATAACTCCATGAAACACTTCAATTGTAGTATTGAGCTTTCCTCCAGGAACAAACACGTCACAATATTCCTTATTTAAATCATTCCCTCCCATACACAAAATAAAGGGGAAGAGGCCTGAATTGAGTTGTGTTAGTAGTGTGTTGAAACTCATTGTTATTGTAACGTATGTGACATTTCCCAAGCATGCTCGAAGCAGCTGACCAATCACAACACACTGGACCAGCTGACCACTCAGATCACATTGCAATTTTCATATATGGGCCTCATAGAGACAGAAACGATACTGACAGACTAGGAAGAGAGGTGCTGCATTAATGTAAAATATGAGAAAAACGTGTAACATTCAAGCATGAAAACCTTATTCTAGTAGTAGATCCCAAAAACACAATCAAGACTTTTATTAAAGGGGACGTATTATGCCCTTTTTAATGTTGTATAAATATATTATTACTCATTGTTAGTTCATAATAGTTAAAGCATTAACTAATGTTAACAAACGAGACCTTATTGTAAAGTGTTCCTGTTTTCTTAATCTAATCTTGTGGTAGACTACAGATACAAGAAGTCATACAAACAATTATTTATGTGACATAAAAGTTACATTTCCTGACGAGCGCATTAAATGTCTCACGTTTGCAGATGTTCATCTGGTGGCTGTCAAATCCTCCGAAGGTCTCGGCTCTGCGTGGCAGACACACGGGCCCCATGTTCCCCTGAGCGCAGGCCACCTGCTGCCCGACCACCCCTCCCAGAGTGCTGTTCACCAGCGCCTGCAACATCTCCACTGTGCAAACACACACATGCACATCACTAACCGCATTACATTAAGTGAGTTACTAGTCCTGGAAGAACATTAGAGGTGGAAATGAGATGCTGCCACAGCTGCCACCAAACACAAATAAGTCATAAATAACACATCGGTTTGAAGCCGACAGGTGGAGAACAGCTGAAGACGCCGGTCGTGGTGGTTCTTACCCTCTCTGAGAGCGTCTATCATGATGGGTTCCCCCTTGGTTACGTCCTCGCTGTTGGACCTGAAGAGCATTTTGACTTGTGAAGCCGTGTCGTCGGACGAACCGCACATTTCACGGAAAAGCTTCATCTTCTCCATCAGGAGTGAAACGATCTGTTCATCTTTCCTCTGGAGCATGTCTAAAAAGAGCGTTGCCATTTGCAGATTAAGGATTTGGATTTTTTTTTTTTATTAAATTCCAGCACCATTATTTTGCACTTTTGTGGAGGGTTTTTTTTGTTGTTGCACTGCTACTGTATGAAATGAACAACCCAATATCAAAAGAAAGTATAGTGCACATTTATTTAACAAAGCCTAAACTGAATGTAATGAGAAACCTGTGAAAACAAATTTCATGATAACCATTGTGGATGTTACACGCTGATTGAATGCAACAACATACATTGCAAAAAAAAAGATTCATTAGCAAATGACTCATCTGGATCATTACAACAAAATCAACCGAACCAACAAACCAGTCTCGAACTATTGAGTTGTATTAAATGTCTTCAATATTTTTTTTAAAATACGTTTTCAAAAGATATTGTTTTTGATTAGTATTCCTGCCCTAAACTGTTTTGGTTTCATAGATATAAATTGGCACTTTAAAATATTTATTTATGAAAAAATAAATGGATTACATAAAATTTGATATTTAATCATTTCAATAATATAAAATGGAGGGGTGGATGGTTGGTGTTTTCACTAAATAGTGAAAGCATTTTATTTAATATATTTAAACAATTAATATATATAAAAATAATGTTAATATATATCTTTTTATATATATATATATATATATATATATATATATATATAAGATATATAAGATGTATATATATATATATATGTAGTTATTTATATTTATTTATTTATTTATTTATTATAAAAGATATATATATACACACACACACACACACACACACATATATACATATATATATATACACACACACACACACACACACACACACACACACACACACACATATATATATATATATACATATATAGAATAAATAAATAAATAAATCTAAATATATAAATAAATACACATATATATATATATATATATATATATATATATATATATATACACACACACACACACACACTGTAAATATATGTTATATGTGTAAAAAATATTCTAAAGAAAACTATACTATTATTTTGGGGGTAAAATACAAAAAAATAGACAAAGCGGTGTTGTAATATAAGCTTACAGAGAGAAAGCTGCTCACCTCTCATTTCTTTAGTTTTAGTTTCGAGTAGCTTCTTGTCTTCCTCCGTTTCACTCGGGATCCCTTCATCATCGTCCTTTTCTCTGTGAACCCACAAGACACTGTCAAATACACTTTCATTGCCATTGCACCTTTATGAAAATATCTTTTCTCCGAAAAACACCAACCATCCACCACTCCATTTCTTCAATTATTTAATTGAATTATGAACTACTTTTGTGATACCTTTTAAATAAATAAATATTTGAATGTATCGATGGAGAGGGATGGCCTGGAACTCACATAGAGTGCATGGCGTCCTGAATGAGCTGCATCCAGGTGTTGCGTTCATCTCGGGAGCTGGCGTGAACCTCCACCATTTCGGGGTTTGCGATGCCGGCCGTGATGAGGAAGAGGCCGCGTTCCTCGTGGGCCACCTCACGCACGATCAGCTTCTGCAGGGAGATAACTGTGGCTCGCTGGTCCTGTTGATGAGAAAAGCAGGCGCCAGACACAGAATGAGGAGGGTGGAGTGAAGGAGAACGAACATGCAGAGAGAGAGAGAGATCAGAGAGATGGAAAGAGAGGAGGAGGGAAAAACAGCAAGAAAAATAGTAATCATCTAAATGAACCGGACATCAACATTCAATATACAGACATTTTGCACTGCAAACAAACTACAGTCATCCATTGTGTTGTGTTTGCTAATCTGAACAAATATCTAAACCTAAATATTCAATTTAATTCACCATTTGTGTTAAGGATATCTAATAATGGCTTGATGAGGAGGCCAGCTTTTTTCTTAAGAAATTAGGTCATATTAAACATGTATTCTTCACCAAATGCAAAGCATATGTCTGTTTAGGAAGTTAGTGATGAAATTCATCCGAAATAACAATAGATTATACTTTTGTTTTGACTGTAGAGAGTGAGAAATGTCCTAGTTTTCAAAGAAAATGGTTGTAAAAACATCATGAACAAAGATTAAGATTAGGTAATGCACAATGGACTAACATGAATACAGTAAATTGCCCTTCTATTAACAAACATTAATACATATAAACAATGTTGTAAAATATATATATGTATAGTAGTATTACCTAATTGATAGGTCATAGTTAATTTTAGCTAATTCATTAAAGGTGCCAGTTATTCTACTTTGAAATGTGCGTTTCATGTTTTTGTTTTGGTATGTATGATCCCACCCACTACCAATCTACCCAATAGTTTTTCAACACCCCTGGGTTACCAGTTGGTGGAAAACACAGTGTATTGGAGCCATGGAAGCAAGCAATGAACTGTGCCAGACACCGCAGATTCAACCCGCCCTAAAAAGCCTTAGCATCCATCCATCCCATTCCTGTGTATGTGTCCACAATCTGGCAACCCACGTGAGGGCAGGGGAAACAACTCTGTCCAATATTTTAAATTAAGACTGCAGTATCCATTTCAACCACTAGCTGTCCATATTACATACTGCACCTTTAAATAATGTTAATACATGAGAAGGATATAAAATCCAATCACTCACCAGAGACGCAAAAACATATTTCTGATCTTTTTCTTGAAGGAACACAAAGACATCAGAGAGAAGAAGTGCGTGGACATCTAGGGATTAAAACAAAAAACAAACAGATACAGTAGATATTCAATTAAAAAAAAAAATGGAAGCACTTTAGTTTAGGGTCCAATCTTCACCATTAACAAGATTCTTATTAGCATGCATATTACAAAGACATTGGCTGTTTATTAGTACTTGTAAAGCACATATTAATGCATGATCTTATTCTACACCCCTTAATCCTAGCTAATACCAAAACTTAAAGGGATACTCCACTTTTTTTGGAAATAGGCTCATTTTACAACTCCCCCTGAGTTAAACAGTTGAGTTTTACCGTTTTCGAATCCATTCAGCTGATTTTCTGATATTTAGAAGAATATCAGTAACCAGACAGTTTCTGGTCTCATTGACTTCCATAGTAGGAAAAAAATATATACTATGGAAGTCAATGAGACCAGAAACTATCTGTTTACTGATATTCTTCTAAATATCAGAAAATCGGCTGAATGGATTCGAAAACGGTAAAACCCAACTGTTTAACCAGTTAACTGTCACCGTCCCACAGGTGGGACACTTGCCATTATATTTTAAAAACAATAATATCTTAGAAAAGACCTTAAGTAATATTGACAAACTATATATCATTTGAAAGCTTACAATCTCTAGTTTCCATATTTGGTGACTGATTTTCAAAATAATTTACACACGAGCCGTAATTTATCAATTTGCAATAAGAATATTTTCATACTCAAAGCGTGTTCAGACCTTTATTTTGAAATAGCAATGAACATGAAAAATCATGTAAAAAAGTTAGAAACCTCAGTTTGATTTCATGCCAAGAGTTCAAAAGATAGCATCCATTCAATTATTTTAGAAAAAAAGGTCTGAAAATGTTTTAAATATTACGAAAAATAATAGATTCACCATTTGTGTTATGGCAATAAGCTATAACGCGCATGCGTGTGCTTTGTATGTGATTCCTAGAGGTTGAATTCATATCAAAATCTGCCAAACTAACCATGCTACTTCTGAATAGGATTTCTACTTCAGAAATTGTGTGAAATTTGTGAAAATAATGGTTCAGATCACTCAAAACACATATGGAAATGGAGACACCCTTATATGGGCAGTAATGGAGTCTGGTTGTGCCCTAGTGAAAAATTTTCGTACTGCGCCCAAACAAAATCTCACTGAAAGCTCATTTTTTGAGATATCAACCTAAAATTTGAAACACAACTTGTTCAGATTTTTAGGGCCCGAGCACTAACAGTGCGAGGACCCTATTGAAACTGTTAGGGTTATTTATTTATTTATTTATTTTTTTTCTGCAAAGTAAGTGCCATTTTCGGGGCCGCAACATGCTCAAAAACTCACCAAATTTGGCACGCATGTCAGGACTGGTGAAAAATTTCATATTTTGTGGGTTTCGCAGATGGGCGGGGCAAAATGGCACGCTAGCGCCACCTAGAAAATTGGAAAAAATTAGCCCCTCGTCCACGTTCAACCTACATGCACGAAATTTGGTGGGGACGTGTATCATATCAAGACGCACAAAAAAGCCTCAAGAACCCATACCCTAAACTCGACAGGAGGTCCGCCATTTTGAATTTGGCGGCCATTTTTGGACGATTTACAGACTCCGTACTTTAACGAACTCCTCCTAGGGATTTAGTCGGATCGACTTAAAATTTCTGCTGTGCCTTCTAAAGACATTGACGATGTAAAGTTGTGCTATCTGCGCGTTTTCGTCGATGGGCGTGTCCGTGGCGTCGAAGATTCGCCATGAAACAGGAAGTTGTACTAACTTGGCTGTAAATGCCCAGATCTGCACGAAATTTTACACATTTGACAAGAGTCACGCCCTGAACAAATCTACATGCCGACATTCACCCACAGTCATAGCGCCACCTGCTGGCAACAGGAAGTGACCTTTAACGAAGCAGCCCCCGCCGCTTGTTTGACCGACATGTACGAAATTTCTGTGGTACATCTACCATGACCAGACGCACAAAAAAGCCTCAAGAACCCATACCCTAAACTCGACAGGAAGTCCGCCATTTTTGAATTCGGCGACCGATTTGGGACGATTTACACACTCCGTACTTTAACGAACTCCTCCTAGGGATTTAGTCGGATCAACTTCAAATTTCTGCTGTACCTTCTAAAGGCATTGACGATGTAAAGTTGTGCTATCTGCGCGTTTTCGTCGATGGGCGTGTCCGTGGCGTCGATGATTCGCCATGAAACAGGAAGTTGTAGTAACTTGGCTGTAAATGCCCAGATCTACACGAAATTTTACACATTTGACAAGAGTCCCGTCCTGAACAAATCTACATGCCGACATTCACCCACATTCATAGCGCCACCTAGTGGCAAGAGGAAGTGACATTTAACGAAGCAGCCCCCGTCGCATGTTTGACCGACATGTAGGAAATTTCTGTGGTACATCTACCATGTCCAGACGCACAGAAAAGTCTCTTGGAGCGATGCCCTAAACTCAACAGGAAGTCAGCCATTTCTAATTTTACCGCCATTTTTGGATGATTTACTCATTACGTACTTTAACTAACTCCTCCTAGGGCTTTAGTCGGATCGCCTTCAAATTTCTGCTGTGCCTTCTAAAGGCATTGACGATGAAAAGTTGTGCTATCTGCGCGTTTTCGTCGATGGGCGTGTCCGTGGCGTCGATGATTCGCCATGAAACAGGAAGTTGTATTAACTTGGCTGTAAATGCCCAGATCTGCACGAAATTTAACACATTTGACAAGAGTCCCGCCCTGATCAAATCTACATGCCGACATTCACCCACAGTCATAGCGCCACCTGCTGGCAACAGGAAGTGGCCTTTAACGAAGCAGTGTGGCAAATGCACAGCCGCACTGGCTGAGCTGCAGAAAATGAAACGCGGCCGCCTCACACCCCGACGTGCTACAGGTGCGAGGGCCCGCCCATCGCTGCTTGCAGCTTTAATTGCCTTTGATTTTTCTGCAGTTTTAGAGTAGCCCAGGTTTTGAAAATATATATTTTATATAAAATATGAATAATTAATTTTTTTACATTGTACATTTCTATAAACTCAAACTTCTATAACTTTTTTTCTGTTTCACTTTCCTAATTTATTTCACTTCGAGAAAAATCTGCCAAATGTCTTCTTTAAAACGAGACCAATCTTAAGTCTATATTCCAAAGCATTCTTGAATTACAACCATTTAAGATTGAAATGAGCATTTCCATGTCTATTAAAAAAAAAGGGGGGGGGGGTGACAGTTAAGAGGTTAACTAAAGTGGAGTATGCCTTTAAACTGTCCTACTAACTATTAATAATTAAAAGATTACTGAAGCAAAAGTTGTAGTTAATAGTGAGAATTGTACACTAAAATTAAGTGTGACTAAAAAATATATAAAACTTTTTAGAACCACAAGTAATAATGCAATACTATTTATGTGGACATGTGTAATAAAATAACAAAATAAAATTGAAATAAGAATATTGTAAAAATTAAATAAATTGATTTACATTGTCGATACCCTCGGCAAATAATTCTAATAATAATAATGATGCGTTCTTAATTACTGTAATTTTGAAATGACAACACATGACAATCTACTCTGTTGTTTACATCATCGGACTAAGAATTATGTGTTTTTATGTCAACGCTATCAACGCCAAAATTAACTGTAGCAGTCATGTGGTACAAGTAGGAGCTCTCACAAAATTCCCAGCAACCAAGTTGTAATTACGAGCTCTGCAAGGACGCTTTTCACAAATATAAATCTCGTAATTACGGTAATTGCGACATGATGTAAACGAACCTTAATACAATATTAACTTTATTAATTTAATTACTTTTTCCTGAAAAAAAATTACATTTTCTATTATTTTATAAAATTGATTGAAATCTAGCTAATTGTATATATGTATATGCCATTACAATCACATATCACTACCAACACATTCAAAAATCCATTTTTTTTTTATTTATTTTTTAAAGCCCACAATCAGATTTCAGTACATGGGATCTTTAATGCAGTATAGTTTGAAGATTTTTCATTTTTCAAAATGGAAGAATCACCAATAAATAACAGTTTTCCCTTTTTTATCCATTGTGGAATAAATGCGGTCAACAACGAGGTTTACAATAACTACATTAAAGAGTTTTACCCTTCAGTCGTCCAGCAGCGTTTTTCAACTGCAGAGGACCATCATTGAGAAGCTTCCGACCGCGAAGCAGGTCCTCTCGGGCAAACATCTGGCCGTTCTTCATGCGCGTGATGGACTTGCTGTCCGTTCGGCCGTAGATCTCCTTCAACTTTTTCTTCTTCTCGTGTTCATTTACTTTATTGTCCACTGAAGCAATTATGTCTTTCACCAGCTGAAGCGCCTGCGTCAAGTCCTCGATATCCTTCTCGTTCTCTGCACAAACACACACACACACACACACGCACAGGTTTATATGATATTGAATTGTAATAAATTCCTATGAACAATCAACACGTCCATTTAGTTTCATTATGGTATTAGACTGGCAGGATAAAACCCTCTTGAGAGCTATAAGCTCCTTCTCAAATTGCCCCTGAAAGGATATTTGTTATACTTGATGCTCTAATTCATTTTAAAATCTCTTTGTTGGGAACGTGACCAAAAAGCCTTTCAGGCTGGCTGTGCAACAGTTGGAAGTGATTTGCAGTAAATGTGGAATGTTTACTCGTAGCGGCTCATGTGTGCGGCAGAGGGCCCATCCGTAAGACAAGCGTGTTTACCGAGAGTGAAATATTGGTGTGCTATTCAAACACTGACGGGCGAGTCGGTTTGGAGAACTGAGGACTTTGCTTACTGCCAACATCTTTGGCTCAAGTCCAATTTTATAGTGTCTGTTTGTCTTCATATCTGTGTATTTGTAAATGACACTAAGCACAACAAAAGTAGAGCAGTTTGAAAGTGGCTGTGAGGTCTTAATCTTTGGTATATCGCACCTGCAAAATAATTGATTTTATTTTATAAGTTGAAGGTCGGTAATATTTTTTTAAAATGTTTTTTTTTATGCTTTTATTGTAAGGCTGCATTTATTTGATCAAAAAACAGCAAAAATAGTAGTATGAACTATTGAATTGCAAAAATTATTATTACAAAAAATAACAGAATTATTATTTAAAAAATCACAAAAAATTACAGAATTATTATTACATAATTATTTTAAAAAAAAAACTATTTTCTATTTGAATATATTTTAAAATTTAATTTATTCCTGTGACAAAGCTGAATTTCCCCATCATTACTCCAGTCTTCAGTGTCACATGATCCTTCAGAAATCATTCGGATATGCTAATTTGCAGCTCAGGAAACATTTCTTATTATTATCAGTAATAAATTAATATAAATAGTTGTGTGAATATTTTTTGTGGAAATATTGTATGCTTTTTTGATGAACAGAAAAGTTTTTTTTTTTAAATACTGTCACTAGAGATCCATTTAATGCATCCTTGCAAAATAAAATTATTATTTTCTTTTAAAACAGTAGTGTATCATTTTCTCTGTCTATTAATTGGACAATAATTGAAATGATGGGGTGAATTAGAGCGCCAACTAAATATGCATTTTATGCTGGAATATCCATTTAATCCGAACACTATTGCTAAAAATTGACTGACTGATTTCTTTAAGAAAGATTTAAAACTAAATCGCAGCTCATGACTGCAACTGGTCAAAGTAAATCGTACCTTTAGTGTGCTGAAGGATTCTCTGCAAAAGCACAGGGTACTTTGTTATTCGCTGAGTAACCAGTAAAATGCACTCTGGGATGCCCATCCGCCGGACAACACTGCTGCTCATTTTTTTCTGGAAACAAGACCACATTGAGGACCGTTAGGCATCTTCTTGCATTTATTGGGAAGAATGTCCAAATGTAAATGAATTGAATGATTTACCCTGATGAATGCCTGGAAGCGTTTGTCTCTGGCATGCAGCTCCTTGTAGAAGTTCACTGCTTCACTGTGTCGACTGCAAAATTTGCCATAGATTTTCTTCATGCCTTCTGCATTAGAGCCTGAGAACTGAAGCACATCATGTGATAAATTATTACAGGAGCTAGGATATGAACAATGAATCTGCTGATAACTCATGCGGACACATGCACACAACATGCAGGTAAACAAATACAACATCTTTTTTTACAAAGTTTTTTATTTTGACTGTTTATATTTTGAATTTTTAAAAGAAATATTTTTATATTATTGTTATTGTCATAATGATGTGATTTGATTAATTTTGTTTTTTTTAATCAATTCACAAATTGCAGTTTGAGGGGTTTTACACAACAACAATGTACTTTGTTTCTTTTTTCTACTTTTTTTTATTTTTTTTATTTTCTTATTTAAACGCTGTATTATGCTGCCAGGCCAGTAGTTGGCGATGTCACTTTGTAAAGAAACATTACGCGTCTCCACAAACGCATTTCTTCTACATATGTAAATAATGCGTCTCCGCTGGCACTAGTAGTGGCACAGTAAATCTACACTTTGCTGGAGGAACATTAACCCTTGTGCTGCATTAGATTTTTAACACCGTTGAGTGCATTAAGGACCAAAAATGGCCACATATTAAACATTGCCTAAAATATTATATATTATTATTATTTTCCACTTTTACCAAGTTAAATCTTTTAACCAGCATCAGTCCTCATCATAACTACCAAAAATGTATTCAATTTCAGGATTTTAACCCTTTAATTACCAGTTTTGTTTGCAAAACCATCGATTTGTATAAGAGGAAAAAACACAAAAATTCTATTATTTTCAATAAACTAAATGCAAAGAGAAAACTTTAGATTTGGATTATCACAGTCCCACTTTGCAAAAAATCCCACTTAGCGCGTTAGAGACCAAAAATGGCCACCTATTAAACATTCCCTATTGCCTAAAATAAGGTGCATTTCCACCCATAGGGAATAAATATGTAGTGACGTCATCTGGTGGAATACACTATATAATGCAAATATAATGCTTTTGCTTCAAAATGAAAGGATGTTTGAGCAAAAATCATGTTTCATGTATTACTGACAGCCTCAGATTTAAACAACGTTTTAATGGGTTTCAATGGGCCATTTTTGGTCTTTATGGTGCTGAGTGTTACTATTTGATCTATACATTGTGTGTTATTCATATTTTGCAAAATGGGATCACATTTTTACATGTATCCAAAAAGTCACAATTTTGCCAAATTTCATACCATTTGCATTAAAACAGCCAAAATGGTCAAAGAAATTAAACTGCAAAAGTGTCCCTAATGCAGCATAAGGGTTAATAAACTCAGTACTTGTACTTGTGCATGCCTATACGTAGACTGAACAGGTAATGCGCATGACAACACTGTTCAATCACAAATTCATGTTTTTTGTAGGTTACACAGAGAAGATAAATGGTATAGTTGGCAAAAGTTTGGGTTTTCAGGTCCCCAAAACGGTGTTGGCGTGTAAATGAACGGCCAAAACTAATGAAAAGTTTACTGGCTTTAGTTGAAAAGGTGTTGTGTAAACGGCCCCTTAGAAACCCTTAAATATTCCCACTTAAAGTCCCCCTGTGGTAAAAATGAAGCTTTTAAATGTTTTTTACATGTCTATGTGGTATTTTTAATATGCTTTAAGACAAACCATGAGCAAATTCATAAGTCAACACCATTGCTGAGTATTTTCTCCTTAAAGGAACACTCCGACTTTTTGGGACTTTAGCCTATTCACCTTACCCCCCAGAGTTAGATAAGTCCATACATACCTTTTTCATCTCCGTGCGTGCTATAAGTCTGTTTGACGCACCCACCGCTAGCCTAGCTTAGCACAAAGACTCGATGTGACTGGTGAGTTATTTTGTCACTATGAGTGACAAAATAACGCAAACGTTTTCCTATTTACATGTTGTGATTTGTATAGTCACATAATGTACAAATAACAAAGTCAAATGAGACACAGACATCTTTTAACCGTATAAAACCTGGGAACTATTCTCTGAAGGCGAAGCACTGCTACTTTGACGGCGTAATAACCGCATCACCGGAGACACGCCGTGGTGAGGAGCGGAGAGTTCGCTCGGTGTTTGGGTAATAGAGTCAGCAATTTATAAATAGTAAAAGCGTAGTTTAGAGTCATGGGTTTTCGCTCTATTGTAAATAGCTGCGACTGTAAACAGGGGAGGTAACCATGTTTCACAGAATTCCAACTAAAAACGCTGACTGGATGAAGAAATGGCTAACTTACTCTGGATATTTATCCAAACACACCTAAGATTATCAAGGGACATTATATTTGCTCGGTACATTTCAATGAGGACGACTATTTTGAAAAAATGGAATTTGCCACACGGACCATAATGTGCTGAAGGATACGGCCATCCCATCGATAGCACAGACAGGACAAGTGGATCACCTGCGGCTGAGGTAAGTGTTCCGTTATGTTTTTAGATGACCTACTGTAACAGTGCCTTTAGCCAGAGCTAATGTAACGTTAGTGACACTATTATATGATTAGGGTATGAATATGTTTTTATCTTGATGCGGTGCGGACGCGCTTGGGAAAAAAAAACTAACGCGTTCACCGCGTTGAACTTGCACCCTGCGCGCGGCGCGCCTAGTAGCCTAAATTTGAAATAACCATGGAAATAACAAACTTGAGCGTGCAAAAGGGTACGATAGGCTGTGAGTTCATTGTGCAAAAACAATTTGTGCTATTACTTTCCCCTTATTCTATCCTATAGTAATGCAATACTGTATATATAGGCTACTGTTGAATACATTTGGTTCAGCTAATAAATTGCATTTAAAATATATTGATTCCTGTAATAATAATTATTTATTCATGTGATATTTATAAATCTGGGTGCGTTTTTGGTTGGAAATCAATGAAACATGGTACTGTATTACCTGGTCTCCCCTGTTTATTGTCACAGCTCATACAATAAAGCAAACACCCATGATAAACTATGCTTTTCTATCTAACGTTAGTAATTGCTGACTCTTTATTCCAACGCTGAGCGAAGCGAACTCTCTGCTCCTCGTCACGGTGCGTCTCAGGTGATGGTTATCACTGTGCCCAAGTAGCAGTGCTTCCCCTTCAGAAAATATAGTATTTATACGGTCAAAAGATGTCTGTGTCTCATATGGCCTTGATATTTGCACACTCTGTGACTATACAAACCACAACATGTAAATAGGAAAACGTTTGCGTTATTTTGTCACTCATTTGGATTAGTATGAAAGCTGCAACCATTCACATCCAGTCTTTGTGCTAAGCAAGGCTAGCGGTGGGTGCGTCAAACAGACTTATAGCACGCACGGAGATGAAAAAGGTATGTATGGACTTATCTAACTCTGGGGGGTAAGGTGAATAGGCTAAAGTCCCAAAAAGTCGGAGTGTTCCTTTAAAACTGCAGTGAACACATTACAGACTCAAAAACGCTGTTTAAAATCGCTGGTGTTTCTGACGTCACAAACTACCCAGAGCAACCAATCACGGATCTGTGAGCTGGTGTGAGTGAGTGGAGGCGGGGCTAATTTGCATGTTCTTAAAACCAAATATACTAAATGAGGCAAGGGGCGTAGTTACATCAAAGCTATTTATGGCATGAAGAATTTTTTTCAAGGACAAAACATTTAAAAATGTCATTTTGGTGATCAAATATGAGTTAAGGGATACAATTATTGACAACAGGGGGACATTACGTAGAATCTAAACACCCTCACCTGGTTGACCAGCACGTCTCCTATTCTGTCGATTATAAAGCCGTTCGCTCCATCCAGGCTGGCTTCCTTCTTCCTCTCCAGCAGTGCACTGAAAAAGAACGAGTGGAGATCCAGGAGCTCCTCCAGCATGGGGAACATCTTCTCCACCATCTGGACCTCCAGCTGGAGATCTGTCAGCAGGCCCTTACTGTACACATTAGACATGATCCGTAACGTCCGCAGGTGATGCATCTCCGTCTGGATCAGCTCTGGATTGATAAAGGAAGATGTTTAGATCCAGACATCTGGAAAAGCAGCAGTTACCATTCTCATTGCCTATTGTTTACAGCAAGAGATTCCCATGTTAAATCTTAATCCCATCTAAATGAATTTCAGTGGGAAATTTTTTACCTATTGTTCACCAAAAGAACCAAGAGTAATTGCTTCAAGTTAAGGTCAACAACACTGCTGCTAAAATGATGGCATGTGATTTTTTATGCATTATTATAGTTTTTATTTTTGTATTTTCAGTTTTATTTTATTTTTTATAAACATGTAAATTTTTATACTTAAAAAATGTCTATTTCATCTTTAATCTTTTTTAATGCATTGTATATTGTCTTGTTTGTATGTTAGTCTTGCTGCAAAACCAATTGCCCATCAGGAACATTTCCCTGGACGAAATGTGCAATCATTTAGCCAGTGTTTGTAAACAAAAGCTCAGAACAGCAAATGCTTTTGGCCGTAAAGACAAAAAAAAAAAAAAAAAAATGTATTCAATTCTAACATGGACTTACCATAGATGACGTCTTGCCTCTTGATGATGTCCTTCTTGAGATGCTTCAGACATTTCTTATCTACAGTAATGCTCCAGGAGTCCGCCTCCAGTTCTTTAACATCTGCTTCAAACTCTCCCATCAGCCGGCTGTCAACCATCTCGGTTCCTTTACAAACCAACAAAATGTTTATTCATACATTACTAGACAACCTGTGCAAATAATATTTTTTTTCATCATTTTATCAATAGTGAAAGTGAATAACAAAGAAAATGACTGAGTAGAAGGGGAAGAAAAGGACAAGAGGCCAGATTCAAAACTAGGCCTCCCATGAAGCAACAGCTCTGACAATTAATTACTTGTTTTTAAAGGGATAAGGACTAATTCTTTCTAATTCATGCTGAAAAGTGAACATACTGGACAGTCATTTTCCTCCCTGAAAGATTTTAGGTTGGGCCCTCTTTTAGATGTTTTTGAAAGTGCAGGAAATTGCATCTGGTATAATACAGGAAGAAATATGTCTGCTCACCTTCATCTAGAGACTCATTGGACGCTGTGACCTTATTAGGTTTGTGGAGGGAGTCTGTGGATTGAGACAGATATCGCATACCTCTCAGTGGTATATCGTCAAACCTGCAGGAAGGGATGAGGGATGAGGTCAAGAGTCCTCCAGACAGATGCACTGGCTTTAGGTATCATAAGCTAAAGAGTCAGCATACTGCTATACTACCAGCTATCTGTACTGCTATCTGTTTTACATAATCAGATTGTAAAAATTAAGTACTTGTAATTAGATTATATTACATTTTAAAATACTGATAATAAGACTATAGTTACTTTTTTATTGATTCCATGATTACACATTACTCTCACAATGGCAGTGAATTATTCCTAATTCATTGATTCTCCCTAATTCTTATTTTTCTTATTTTATCTATAAATATAATTTATAAAACCCCCTTTTATTTTATTTCAGTTTAGTTTCAGTCATTTTTGTACTTTATCTTAAACATTTTATTTCAGTTAGTTAGTTTAATTTTTTTCAGCTTTATTTCAATTAACAAAATATTTTTTGTTGTTAGTTTTAGTAAATCATTAACACTGATACTGTGTAGTATGCAGTAGGGATGTCACGGTACCGATACCATTAAAATGTTACGGTTCTTGGTACCAATTTCGGTACCACAGCAAAATCAGTGTGAACTATTTTTCTAATTTATTTAACTATTTGAAAAAAAAAATTCAATTGAATTCAATGACTTCATTATTTATGATGGTAAATTTATGAAAGCATTGAAGGCTACATGCTGTTTAAACGAAAATATTGATGAGCTTGAAAAAAAATAAAGTGAAAAATAAACCTTCTATGCACACATTATTATTAGTAGTAGTAGTATTTTTAATTAATGGAGACGTAGTTAAATCTATTGTACAGTAGCCAAATATAGGCTAATTATTTCCGTCGATTTCTTTAAGTTAAACCAAACTTTTATTTTGGCGGGTTGCCGGGAAGACCTTTGAGTTTCTCTATGATCTGACGATAGTTTTTCTCAAATGAAACGGTAAAATGCTCATGAAGTGACTCTCGGAGATGAATGGATCATGAATCATGTCATCATATTGTGAGGCAGCAGAGACTGAAAACAGCGCGAGCGTCACTCGTACTTCAGCGTGTGTGTGTGTAAGGTAACATTAAACGAAACCGCGCGTCTGCGCCGTTCATTCACACAGAGACAAGCAGAACATGCAGGGTTCATATGTAAATAGTCGTTTTGCAGTTTAATATACACAGACACCACATCAGCAGCGCCGCAGGTCGCAATGTCGAAGCCCTTCGTGCAGACACGCGCATCCAGAACCGGGTTTGACCGGGTACTCGGCACCACCGGGATTTGGTACCGTGACGTTTACAATTTTTTAGTACCGACTTGGTACCAAAGTACCGAATATTTTGACAACACTAGTATGCAGTATAGTTCCATTCTGAACATAGTCCGTAACTACTGTTTATTTTCAGTTGAATCCTGAGAATACTTGGTGTGTGTGTTTAGGCACTAATACTTGGTGTGTGTGTTTAGGCACTAACATTGCAATATTGTTGATGGACATGCTTTTCGAGAGGTTGCTGCTGTGGAAGGGCATAATACTGGTGGGTCGTCTTGAAGGAAGAATCACAGAATGTTCCTCTGGAGAAAAGATGGCAGACCAGGGACGCTCCCGCAGTGTGGACGCTACACACAAAAATCACAGATACACCATTAAGATCAGTTGACAGTAAAAAAATAATAGAATGAAAAGAGAGAGACCTACAAACCCACATTTTGTTCGTAAAGTGACGACAGGCATAGTGGTGGACTCTGGTATTGCAAACTGCTGTTTACGTAACAGAAAAGAAGGAACAGATTGTTTATTACAACATAATGCAGATACTTTTTTCGACATGTAACACTTTACACTTCACATTTTAGAATGAGAACAACTCAAACCTTCATTCTGCTTTTGGGACAAATGGGGAGGCTTTCTTTACAGCTCTTGTGAACTCTCACATTGCAATCTGAAAAACAAAACATCATAAAAAAACCTTATCAAAGTACCGGTACTCATTTGCAATTCACTTCTTTGATAACGATGCAATATCGTGAATGCTGTAAGTGTAAGGCATAATATATGATTTTATGCGCTTTTATCATTTTTTTTAAATACTTAGCTTTATTTTTAGTATTTTAGTATTTTAACTTGAACTTATTTCAGTCAGTTGCCAAGGCATGTCTACTTTTAGAGTTAAGTTGGAACAATGAAGGTAGGATTTTGTTTGTTTATGTTTATTTCAAACATCAACAGTGTTTCTCAGAAATCGCTTTAAGTTATCAATCTTTCAATTCTTTGATAAAGATGCTATATTGTGGACGCTGTAAGAATACATCATTACTTGTTACCAAAACATAAACACACCCTTTTCTGTCAGCAGAGAGTTCACCTCTATGACCAAACATAAGGGTTTAATCATACACGTATAACGGAAGACACTGTTTTTTTCTATTCTGGCTTATGGTCAAAGTGGTAAAGACAGTTGGGCTTTGGGTTAGGAATTCCTTCCAGTCAGGAAACTCCACCAAGCTCACAAATGAAATCCCAGAAACTTGCCAACAAGTACTACTAATGCAGATCTTTTGTAAAGAATACACTTTGAACAACTTATTACTTATAATTATTTTTAATAGATTTATCATTATTTGTATATTGTTTTTTGTTGTTTTTTTTAGTCCGAATGGGCTGGGCAATGAGACTATGGAAAGGTGGACTGAAAAAATAGACTCAATGGGAAGTTTTAAAGTTTATTTACAATAAATATGAATGAGGTTAAAATATAAAAAATAATGAGGGAGAAAAAGGAGAAAAATAGGCTTACTGGCCATGAAAGAATAAAGGCTTTTTATATTTTTTTTAAAAAAACTATTTACTCGAGTGCCTTGAATTGTTTTTTCTTATGAATAAGATTTGTCATCAGCAGCTCCATGAGGAAGTGAATGATGTTACCAGAACTGCTTCCTATTTTTGAGCAACGAGTCTTTTGAAATCCATGACACAACATCTTTAAATCACCCTTCAATTTAACCGTCCACCACACTTATCAACGCCCCGTTATGCTTTTTGAATTATTGCCTTTCATGTGGAGTGTACAGTAGCAGTGTAACAGAGTTGCATAATGCCAGCCTATGGTCTCCATTGGCTGCCTGCAAACAACGTCTACTTTAGCCTATCCTCAAAAACTGTAGTTGACACTGGAAAAGTTTGGTTTGTATTGCTGACATGTCAAGAAGGATGAGGACTTGGGCTTGAATTGATGTGGTAAAACCGACGCCATTGTTACTGTCCGCATCACTGTGTATTGAGATATTCACTGTGTAAATTCAGATATGGTAATGGACATTTGGTTTCCAACAGGCACTGTAAGCGGTAGACCAATCATCACATCACAGACTGGATCGTCAGACCAATCAGAGCAGAGTAGGCTTTCAGAAAGGAGGGGTATCGAGAAACTGAATCTTTGAACGAACTGATTTTAGACACGTTGAGAAAGGAGGTGATGTGCAATGTATATTATGAAAAAATTGTATTTTTGACCTTGGATACACATCAACTTATTGTAGGAGACATCCAAAACAATATTAGGAGTCTTTGAAATAGCATAACAAGGGGATTAAGGGAACGAAAATAGTTTATATTATTTGTATAGATACTTGTCCAGCAAATAGTAGAGGTTCTCTAAAAACCCAGTGTTTTCTCATGTGAAATCTATTGTTGGGAGTAACTAAATCAAAAGGATGTTATGTAGTACTTGAAACCTTAAATGATGAACTGATTCTTACTTGTGCAGTTGACAGCATCTTTAGTGTTGAGGGTTTTGTTGCATTGCTGGCACAAAGCCGGATGCAGCAAACTCGACGTGCTGAACAGGTGTCCATTCACAGATTTCTCTCTGTCTTTCTCCCGATTCTTTTCTTTGTCTTTTTCCTGTGCCAGAAAATGTATAAGAAATATTACAATAGGTGACGGCTGTTAACACTTGCAGAGCACTGTAATGGCCCGTCGTATTTACTTCAGTTTAAACCCATTAACTTCAAGCATTAGTTCACTTTTAAAGAACCTTTCGCTGATAATTTACTCACCCCCATGTCATCCAAGATGTCATCCAATTCAGTCGAAAAGAAATTAAGGTTTTTGATGAAAACATTCCAGGATTTTCTCTATATAATGGACTTCATTGGGTACCAGACTTTTCAAGGTCCAAATGACCGTTTCAGTGCAGCTTCAAAGGGCTTTAAACGACACCAGACGATGAATAAGGGTCTTATCTAGTGAAACGATCGTTCAATTTCAAAAATAAATAACAAAGTTTAAGTTTTATAAGCTCAAATGCACACCTTGCTCAGTTCTGTGTGACTCTCCTGTTCGAACTCGTTCATCAAAATGAACGAATCTTCATTTGAGTCATTTCGGTCAGTTTGTTCGTTGAATGAACCAAATGACTCGAAAAAAGATTCGTTCATTTTGATGAACAAGTTTGAACAGGAGAGTCACAGAACAGAGCAAGGCGAGCATTTTTGAGCATTTATAAACTTATTTTTGAAAAGACCAATCGTTTCGCTTGATAAGACCCTTATTCATCGTCTGGTGTCGTTTAAAGCCCTTTGAACAGTTTGCACTGAAACTGTCATTTGGACCTTGAACCGTTTGAGTCCCAGTAAAGTGCATTATATGGAGAAAATCCTGGAATGTTTTCATCAAAAAACTTAATTTCATTTCGACTGAAGAAAGAAAGACGTGGACATCTTGGATGACATGGGGATGAGTAAATTATCAGCAAAAGTTTTTTGAAAAGTGGACTACTCCTTTAAGTGCTCATCAATTTCTTTAATGGCATTTCTCCAAAGTCAGTATGCCTCCCTCTACAAAAAAAAAGTTTAAATATTTAAATTATGGGACTTGGGACAAAATGTGGATTGAGTGCCACATGATCCAGAGCTAATCAAAAAGAGGACCTTAGTGGGCCACCCTATTGTCCCTATCTAAAATGTCATTTCAAACTGAGGACATTTTCACTGTGATTCAGACAGTTCACAAACATCCTCTCAATTGTTGTCAAGTTCTCCTGTAACAAAGTTCAGCTTCCTACTTGTAAATATAGGCCCCATGTTAAGCAACTGTTTAGAAACAGCAACCTTTTTGGGGGTAATACAAAGCTAAATTAAAAAAAAAAATACTATCAGGCTTATTCTAAACATGAAATACTCAATTATGTATTGTTGAATCACCGTAAATCAAGCACACTGCTGTCAACAATGTGCCGGTTGTGGATGAAATACACTAAAAAGACGACTAAAGTTGCATTGCATTCCAAATAAGGAGTTAACCATTTCAGAACCAGTGAACATCAAGAAGTGAGAAGAGAAAAAGAAGCACGAGATAAACCAGAACAAAAAGTCTGTTCAAAACATTACTTTCCTCAAACGAGGCAGTGACAGATCCAGCCTACCTCTTCTCCCTTCAAGCTCTTTGTCTTCTGATAGCGGCCTTGAACCTCGCAAAACTTTCTATATAACATTACTGTAGGAGGCAGAGTCTTTGCAAGACTCTAGACCGAGACAAAAAGTTTAGCATCACCTCAGATTCAGGAGGAAGTGATCCAGCTCAAGCTGGGAGGTGCTGTGACTCTTTCTTCCTCTTTTTATTGCACTGTCGTTGCTGGTGTCAGAACAGCAAACTGCTGATGAAATCTGAACATTTTGGTGTAAAAACACCCATATGAAAACTTTTATGGTAAAAAAGTAGCGCTGCAAAAGTTTCAGACTATAGATTAAACATTTAAACTACATTTAACTACAAAGTTCCCAGTGTGTGGAAGCTTGATTCATTTTAATGGTTCAATTTGGTCCATAAAATCTTAAAATTTGAGTCTTGAATGACTTTTAAGAAGTTTAGATTATTAATAAGAGGCCAATACAAAAATAATGCATGTACAGAAGCCCTAAAGTATAAAATGGTGATTTTTTCATTTCATCAGTAAAGAAATGTCAGTATTTAGTTGCTAAATTGCAAAATGATAACACTTGACGTAGTTACATGTTAATACATATATTTACTATAGTAATAACAGTAAATTATGCATAATTACAAGTTACTAACCTTAACTCTATTGTACAAGCAATTTATTAATATTAATCAGTACTTATTTGACTATGTAACAACATCCACTTCAAATAAAGTGCAACCAAACTGTTTATTTCCAGGTTTCTTTGAAAAAAGTTTTTCAATGTGCACTTAAGGTCTCAGTAGTCTGTAAATAAAGTACTGGTCCTTTAAATGGGTAAAATGCTGAGCTAACGGTAAAGAACGAAACATTATCGTGCCTCTTCTCACCGTCATATTTCCTCTAGAGCTCAGAAAGTCTCCAACCCCTCACACTGAATCTACTTCTCCATTCATTTCAGTACAAGGGTAAATTCCTGTCTTGCATTTAATTGACCGGGTGATAAATCACACTCAGTCATCAGTATGAATGAAACAGATGAGCTAATTTACAAATACACTCTTGGTGGAGAGGAAATTACTTGGTGAAAAAAAATTTGCGAACAAAAATGTTGACTTACTCTCGCTTTCTTGTACATTTTGTTCTTTAGATAGCTGAAAGTCCGGCTCACTTTGGTGCTACTTTTTTCAAAATCTCCTCTTAAAGGTCCAGGTTCCTCCTCTGTAATGCTAGAAAAAGCGAGATATACTGTAAAGACATGCATTATATGTGCGTTTCCAGAAATGAATTGAGATATGCATGGGCATCGTACCTGTATCGCATTGAACTGGAGTTGAATGATGTCATGCCTACAAGTACAATGATGGAGTCAAATTACCATCACTAATAACAAACATCCTCCATCAACAGAGCCTGATTTACATCCACACGCAAAATTGTCTGTCTGCAAAAGAGTACGTGATTTGTCTAGATATTCAACTAGATTAAAATGATTCATTGGGCCATGAACATGCTATGACAAAGACCATTTAATCAATCAAGTCTTTGAAGTTATAATGCTGTCATGAATAGGGTGACCAGAAGTCCCGAAAAATTTGAGACAGTACTGAAATCTAAGCTGTTGTCCCAAATCCCGAAACCGGCCTTAATTGTCCCGAAAATTATACTAAAGTAAAATCTTTATATACAACATTAGAAACTGTCAGTGTAAGTTGAGTCATCCTTCAGCCAGCCTCCTCAAGTTGCAGCCGCCGCAGCCACGAGGACAGTGAATGTGCAGGCAGCCAGAGTAAACGCGGCAATTTCGCTCTTGACGAGCGCGTCAATTTCGCTCTTGAGACGCGCGACAATTTCGCTCTTGACGAGCGCGTCAATTTCGCTCTTGACGAGCGCGTCAATTTCGCTCTTGACGAGCGCGTCAATTTCGCTCTTGACGAGCGCGTCAATTTCGCTCTTGAGACGCGCGACAATTTCGCTCTTGACGAGCGCGTCAATTTCGCTCTTGACGAGCGCGTCAATTTCGCTCTTGACGAGCGCGTCAATTTCGCTCTTGAGACGTGCGACAATTTCGCTCTTGACGAGCGCGTCAATTTCGCTCTTGACGAGCGCGTCAATTTCGCTCTTGACGAGCGCGTCAATTTCGCTCTTGACGAGCGCGTCAATTTCGCTCTTGAGACGCGCGACAATTTCGCTCTTGACGAGCGCGTCAATTTCGCTCTTGACGAGCGCGTCAATTTCGCTCTTGAGACGCGCGACAATTTCGCTCTTGACGAGCGCGTCAATTTCGCTCTTGACGAGCGCGTCAATTTCGCTCTTGACGAGCGCGTCAATTTTGCTCTTGACGAGCGCGACAATTTCGCTCTTGACGAGCGCGTCAATTTCGCTCTTGACGAGCGCGTCAATTTCGCTCTTGACGAGCGCGTCAATTTCGCTCTTGACGAGCGCGTCAATTTCGCTCTTGAGACGCGCTGCAATTTCGCTCTTGACGAGCGCGTCAATTTCGCTCTTGACGAGCGCGTCAATTTCACTCTTGACGAGCGCGTCAATTTCGCTCTTGACGAGCGCGTCAATTTCACTCTTGACGAGCGCGTCAATTTCGCTCAAGAGCTCTTGAATGTTTAATCACTCTTTAATGGTTTTTTTTGTTTTTTTTTGTGGCAGACTAAAGACTAATGACAGACAGTTGATCTCTGAATAAAAAATATATGTTGGGTTCAGGTTTGAACCAAACCATATTTTGAACCAAAACCAGACATATTGAACCAAACCCCAAGTCCCAAATTTCAGCCAATATCATCTGGTCACCCAATCATGAAATCATACTTCGTTATTATTGTAAGAAAATACCATGTATTCGCCACTGAATCTCAAAGAAGTATAAAAACATACAGCCAAAAATATCAATGTAACCACAGACAAATGAAGTAGTAAAACTGTTCGGAACGAGACCTCCTCCAAACTAAATGTATGGCAAAAAGAACACTATATTACAGGGTTAATTCACCTAAAAATGAAAATGAATGAACTTTCAAACTCCAAAAAGGACCATTAGGGCTGGGAGATATACAGTATAGCTAAAAATATATAAATAACTATAATATATAAATGAAGAGTTCAGATGCAAAAGCCTCTAAGTGCCATTTGAAATTTTCTTCTTGAATTATGATTTTTATCAAACTTGTATATTTAAGTTCAGTGATTTCACTTAAATAACAATTAATAGGTTATCATCATTGCCATTTAAGTGAAATCACTGAACTTAAATATACAAGCTTGATAAAAATGATCATTCTAGAAGAAAATTTCAAATGGCACTTAGAGGCTTTTGCATCTGAACTCTTCAAATATAATAAATGACGCCATTCAGTATGAATAAAAATACATTATCTAGATGCAAAGCACATATACACAATGTTCCCTAATTTTATATTATAAGTATCACAATAATAGAGGGCTCTACTCTATATTAGGGTCAGGGTTCAAAGGTGGCTAGCATATTTTGGATCATTTACTGTCTGTGAGTCACAGGAAATCATCTAAGGACAAAACACTAAGGCAGGGGTCACCAAACTTTTTTCTCTGGGGGCCACATTATCGTTCCTGACTGTGATGGGGGGCCGGGGCTATATAAAATAGAATTGTGTGACCAAGACCAAACTGACCACCAGCAGGCCTCATAGTAGAGATTACTAGCCTGGCACAGCCATATTTGTTTATCATTAATAGTTGTTTGCAAAAGTAGTAATCGAGTCTTCACACTTTGTTTTAATTTGAAATACCACAGATTTTCCATTTATTTATTTTCGAATACAAATAACATCAAACCTGTCAAGGTAAGAAACATCTGCCTAGTTGAGGTGAGTGGCACTGGTAAGGATGAATGAAAAATTATAAATTATAGGTAGGCCTGTTACTATTTATAATAATTGTGTACAGCACTTAATAAAGGTCAAATAAATAGGCCTATAAAATAAATAAATAAACATTGAAATTATAACAACAACATGAGTAATAGAACTAGTCAAATCTTATGCCTATCCAGGTGAGCATGCTCAGTAAACAACAAAATACCAAATGCAGACATGTTATTATTTTCCAAAAAGCAATTTAAAAAAGTAGGCCATGACGACTTTTGGGGATTGCCGGTTCAAGTAGTGGGGGGCAGAGGGGTTGGGGGGCCAGTCAAAGGGGTGTGGCGGGCCTGATTCGGCCCGCGGGCCTTAGTTTGGTGACCCATGCACTAAGGGTTACTATGCGGAAGATGCAATTATGCAGCTCCTACTGCAACTTACTTATGGTGTCCTCCTCATCACTAGATGAAGAGGTGACCGTAAAGACAGTTTTAGATTTAGCGAGGATCGGTGAGAGGTTCAAGGTAAACGACATCTGTCTCTTTCGCCGAATTCTTCCTATCGCTGGGCGGTTGCATTGGGGATTGAAAAGTCAGAGCAAGTACTTATTAAACCAGATGATTTAGGGGCCTGAGAACTGGGTGGAGGACAACTAACACAAACCAGATGAAGAAAACAAACTACATTACTGGTACAACCTGCACGTGCACAACCTCTCAAACAAGGAATTCATTAGAAATATCTGTTTCTAATGCAAAATCCATTTCATAATCAATCTATAGGAGCCAAAAACTGAAAGAAGAGGTGGAAATCAAGCAGCTTAACTCACCATCTATGTCCCGTTGGCTGATGGACAACATAGAGACTGATTTCATGAGGGGGAGAGTCACAGATTGACCGCTGTGTCTGAACTGGTGATACTTCCTTGATTTCTGCAATTGCAAAGTTAGATGCTCAGTGCTAAAGGGGAATTTCATATCAAAAATCAAAAGTTTCGACTGCATGATATAACCACTTTTTGTGTGTGGTTACATCATGCAATGCAATGCAATGTACAGGGGTGGTATAAAGCCAAAATATCCACCCAATACAAAAAAAGCTTGCTAAGAGAGTGATATTTGGGAGGGAACATTGTTGCAGTCTTAAAATGAAAGAAAAAGAAAAAGAGAGAAAGAAAGAAAAGAAAGAAAGATAATGCGTATTTTTTTTTCCTTGGTAACTAGTCTACATAACCTTAACCCAAAATACCACTTTATTTTACTTTATCCTATTTTCTATATTTTTCTACACCTATAATTGTATTTTTATTATATAAAACTATAGTATGAATGGGAAAACGTGGGTCAAGAAGTCTTTTCAAATAGTTCCTCAATTTTAACCAAAATGTCATGCTTTGAAAAAGGTAACTCATCTCACCTGACCACCTGTACTGCTGCACTCTCCCAAATCAGATTCAGGACCTTCTTCTGTGAGAGACATCAGTGAGCCCCTCTCTTCACTTTCCCGCCTCTGCACTCGTCCCTGATCTTCTGATGGGCCTCCGGACTGCGGGATCCAGCGTTTGCCATCCTCAATCCCTGCTGCTAGACCCTCCAAACTATAACTTTAAAAAAAAAAAAACATTGCTAACAACACATCACTAAATAAATATATGTCCCGCACAACTTTTTAATTTAAATCAAATTAATTATGGTGTCTAAGTAGTTTTCTTTGCATCCAAAAAGGTGTCCACATGTGTCTGTGTGTGGCGTACGACTGACCAACCAAATGCAAAATATGCAAAGCCGATGTTCATATTACACTCCACCCAACACAGAAGTATACACACTCAAAAAAGTATTAAACCTTATTTATTACACAATAATATAACAATGGAATTAAATTATGATGTATTTCAGTGCAACTAAAGTACTAAAAAAACTTTAGACAATAAAAAATTACTAAAAGTGCAGTTTTAAAATGTAGCTGGATTGTTTTTGTGACTATGCAAACTGACTCTTTTGACAGTCTAGTCTATATGAACACAGTGAATTTCACTAACAGAATGGCACCAGGTCTGATCTTAGAAGCGACGCCATAGACATACATTAGAAGCTCAAAGCAGCACAATGAAAAGCACAACCTGAGGCTACATGAGAAGTTTTTTGGTATGCTATATATATGCGAGCATGCATTCGACATTCAAATCTCAAAACAAATCTTAGAAAAAAGGGAATCAAATCTACACTAAGAAGTGAGCGACTACATGAGTAAAACAACTACTGTACATATCACACTATATATTAGATAAATGAGCGTCTTGTTTTAAAAGTGACTAGATAATTTCCATACTTTCCATATATGAATTATAGAAAGATAACCAATTATATTAAACCTCAACTTATAAGTTGAATTGTAAATCATTTCTAAATGACATGACACGTACAAATTACTTTAATTGGTATAACATACTGTAGTTTGTTACAGTCTACATTTTGGTGCAACAGTATGAAACAGATTCGTAACAAACTTCCTCTTACCTGACATTCGGGCCAGATACGAGAACAACAATATCAGTCATCATGTAACCGCAACAAAAAAAGCTTAAAAAAAATACACTACACAGCAAAATGTAGTAACTATCTCTGCAGCAACACTTCTAACTTTTAAAAGCCATCATTTATCCAAGCTGTATCAAGGCTGAACGGGGCAGCAAAAAAAAAAAAGGCCTCACTTTGCTCCCAGACAAACAGGTAATGCAAATGATGATGCAAAAGCTCTTTGTGCTAGTCAAAAGGGGATGGCTCTTCGGTTGAATTTACAGGAAGCTTGCACACAACGCGCTCACACACTTTCTGTACCTGATGAGCTCTCTAATTTCTTCCAGCTCTTGACATGGCTCACTGGGGCACCAGCTCAGACTGGGCAAAAAATAAGGGGCACCAGTGGGCACAAACCAGTTAGAGGGGTAGCAGTAGATCATTTATTCAGTAAACTGTCTGTTTGGGTTGAATATTGTGCTCCACTCTTAGAAGAAAAGGTTTTATAAAGAACCTAAAAGGGGTTTAGATGATTGGAACCTCTTAGGGTTTTAATGAATTAATTCAGATTTAAAAAAAAAAAAAATTAGCATGTAAACACTTTGTCACTAGAAAATTTTTAAATAACCCATAAGCAATTGTATTAAGCAATCATTTAAAACTTACCTAATTATAATCTTTTTGGCATAAAGTGTTCTTTAAAATTTCGTCAAGAACACTAGGGGCCCCATCACACACTCAGCGCAATGCGGCAGCAGGCACGACGCAAGTATTTTGTGAGAGTTCCAGCCCGACGCAGTTATCATTTTCACGTCCTGCGCCACATTGTTTAAATAGCAAATGCATTTACACCCATCTGGGCGCCCATGAGCGTGCTGGTCTGAAAACGAGGTTTGTTCAGGCACATTGTTGGTGCGTTTCTATTTTGGTCTAAATTCAATCGTGCAGTATTTATTTATTTATTTTGTTGTTATTTAACCCTCAGGTGCTCTTCGGTCAGAAAAGCTCTTCGGTCATTTTTCTGACCGAAAAATTTTCTGTTTTGAATTTCTAAAAATCACAGCTTCATCGGAATGTTAGGAAACTTGGTGACTTTTATAGCATTATGTATATGAACACACAAAAAAATTGAGGTCATGATCTGAGCATGCTAAGTGGTCTTAAAAAAATAGTCACAATTGTGGTCTTTGGTCAAAAATGACCCCCATAGGAAATGAATGGGAAATTGACAAAAACACAAAAATTCACAAATTTTTATTTGTTTTTTTTTTGTTTTTTTAATTTTTTAATAAAAAAAATAAATAAAAAAAACGTTTCTGAGATTGTTTCATCAATATATTCAAATCCACAAAAACAAAAAAAATGCGTTCATAAACATCTGGGGAATTCACATGCTTCTCCATAGAGAGGTGTACATGCCATTTACTGGTTACACCATGATTCTATGCTTTTTTCTCTATACTTTAACCAGATGGTGCTAATTTTCTTCAAAAAATATATATATTTTTTTTTTTCTGAAGGCCTAGACTCAATATTAAACTAAAATACTGCATTAATAATTTTTTTGAAAAAAATAAAAATAAAAAAATATATATATATATATGAGAGAGAGAGAGAGAGAAAAATATATATATTTTTCCATGGCAAAAATAGACCATAAATAATGCATAAATATTAACAAATTCAATCAAATTGTCTCAAAATACTAAATTACAAAGAATAAATGTTATAGAATAAAAATAAATTGCATTGGTTTTACTGGAATGGAGGAAATTAAATTTTTTGGTGTCCGGTCACTTTTGACCGGGAAGATAACAAGTGTGACTCCGAAACAAAGAGCACCTGAGGGTTAAAGGTGCCATGTGTAAGAATTGAGGTTAAAATATCCCCAAAAAAATAGCTACACGCATCAAAAGAATGGGAAGGAATAAGGTTGATGATGTCATTAAAAAATGTCTAGTGCTGCAGAGATATTAACCTGAATTAGCATGCTAAATTACTAGCCCCGGCCCGGCAGGTGTCGTAATACCAGTTTGGGCCATGGGAGGCAGTATGCGGGCGGGCAACATAACCACCAGCCAAACTGCAATACACGAGTAACTCGCATGGCTTGTGGGTGTACTTGAACCTGATGTCAACCGTGTGGAAAGTACAGCCCACTACTATGTTTCAGTTCAGGAAGAGTTCAAAAAAATGATTGGTCGATATTATGCATGAGGAATACATTTTGGTAAGTTGTAGCATACTGTATCTTTCAACAGTGTCCGTGTTCTTTTACCATTAGCTAGTAGAAATGATCGGTTCACATGCGCTAGGGATCTGTCGAGTTACAAGCGCCAAAACGGTATTTATTGTTTGAAATAGGGTTGCCGCGGTGAGGAAAATTTCCCACCGGTTAATCGACGTGTGACAACACCGGTAATCCCGGTGTCACCGTGGAGGGCAGGGCGGGGGGGTTAAATAGCTTTTTAATGCGTGCGCGTTATACTTTCACTTTCGAAATAAGCGTCAATTGCTTGAATGGACAAAAAAAAAAACAACTCGCTGATAATAAAACTTTTATTTATAGACAGAACTTTTATTAGCATAACGAACGAATAAAAATAACCCCATGCATAGGCTGAAAAAAGTGAAAATCGGCAAAATGTGGGCCCAAACAAATAAGAACCATAAAACGTTTATTAACGAATAAGAAAATAAAATAGGCCTAAATAAATTACACAAAGTTTAAATGAGATAAAACCAATTAAAAAGAGATGAATATAAAATAAAAAAAAATAAAAAAATAAAACGGACCTTAGCCTACATAAATGACATAGGGCCTACTTTCACTTTCGAAATAAGCGTCAATTGCAATTCAGCGTCAATTGCTGGAATGGACAAAAAAAAAACAAACAAAAAACAACTCGCTGACAATAAACTTTTATTTAGACAGCACTTTTATTAGAATAATAAACGAATAAAATATAGACAGAACTTTTATTAACATAACGAACGAATAAAAATAACCCTGAAAGAAGTGAAAATCGGCAAACTGTGGGCCCAAAAAAATAAAACGTTTATTAACGAAGAAAACAAAATAGGCCTAAATAAATTAAACAAAGTTTAAATAAGATAAAACCAAATAAAAAGAGACGAATATAAAATAAAAACTTTAAAAAGGACCTTAGCCTACATAAATGACAGCACTCTAAAAAAAAGTAAAACACTATAAATTGGCATTTATTAACATTAATATATATTGGCCAAAATATTGCCAAACAGACGCTTTTGCATTGCGTTTTGACACCAAATCTTCCGCCTTTATCTTGCTTTTCTGTAATTTGACTCGTTCTCGTCTCCACACGTGCTAAATGGAATCCTGATGCTTGCTGATCTGTGACGTGACAGCACGCGTTGCGCAGTTCATTTTTAATTATAATGCTCTCTTCAGAACTAAATAATTGAAAATTATTATTTTTAATTAATTCAAATAAATATTTTAGCAAAAAACGAATACTTTAAAAAAAAAAAGTCAAGACATCGCGGTGTCACGGTGGGAAAGTGATGTCACCGGTGATGGGGCTTAAAACCGGTAACACCGTCAACACCGTCTATCGCGGCAAGCCTAGTTTGAAATGTGAAATAAAATTGACAGAATCTGAGAGCTGAGATTTTTTTATAAATCAAAACTAACCTGCTCTGTCTAGTCTGTCGGTCTCCGTATCCGTCTCCGTGCGTGACAAAATTGATGTGTGGCGAGGGAGCGTGTGAAAAGTGTCAATTGCGTGTTTCTCACGGTGAATTCACGAGAGTTGGCAGCTCTGAATGGCGCTAGCTTGATCAACAGCAGCGAATGCTGTCTGTCAAATTAATTCAAACTAACAATAAAAATGCAATATGAACAAAACGAATACCGTAAAACTTCAAATAATAGCCCACGCTTTTATTTCCCCATATCGTCAAAATGCCCAGGCTTGTATTTGAGACAGGCGTCAATGAGACGGCCTTTATAATTTAGTGTTGAGATGTTATTCATTGAGTCTCTAATCTCTAAAAATCTCCAAATGCTCCATGTGAAACTGTGGTCTTCCAAACTTTTACTATCGTGTCAATTGATTTGATTAATATGCGCGAGGGAGAGAGAGCAAAACAGCGCTCACTCCTGTTTAAAAGAGTGAGAGTGCATGCGCGCGCGGCCACGACACAACTCACATTCTGGAGGTATACTGCCCCCATGTGGTATGGAATATGGAGTATGATTTGATTTTGTTTGACAGATGGCACCTTTAAAGAGCAGATTAGTAATGTGTGCCTATAGGCGAGTCAGACGCAGCAGCAAACAAACATGCCAAATATTCAAAATAAAAAGGATTGCAATGTAAAAGATTATTATTGTGTACATAATGATACAGTGGAATCCGACTTGTCACGTAGATGTCTACTTGCGCGCTTTAATCTCGTGCACGAGCAGATTAGCTTCCTCTCTGGAGAAGCGCTAATTTTTCCGCTTGCAAATTCCGTCATGTAAATAGCAAATCCGCCATGGCGTGAGCGCAACTGGCTTTTAATGGGAATGGGAGATGAGACTCTGGTTTATTGCACGTTAAGCCCAACTCACACTCATTACTCATTAAGAGAATAGGGACAACCGTTTTAGACCATGCGCTGGGCTCGTTAAACTAGCAAAAGTGGATTTGGACAGGCCCCAAGTACACTTACGCCGTGCGCTTTAGACCATGTGCTTAGATCGTTAAAATAGGGCCCCTAGTGTTCTATATAGAACCCCACTGAACCATTTTTTCTAAGAGTGATATTAGAGCGCAACAGTAGGGTTTGAGAGGCAAAAATGATATTCATCCTAATAAGATATTTTTTATACAAAACAAAAATTGTGTTGGTTATGTTAATTCCCAATACTGTAATTTGCTACCATGAAATTAGGAATCACTGTTGCGCTCTATATGGATTTAAGATATTAAATACTTCAAAATAAAATAGAAAAAAAAAACAAGATACCTTCTTCTGTAAAAGACAGGTCTGCCGTCTCCTGTACTTCGTACAGAACTGGAAATGGAAAGATGATGACAGGTATGAGATGACATGGAAATATGAGAGCTCTTTAGTAACTACTAAGACTTCAAATATCTGTATAATAAGAGTCTTGGAAGGGTAAAAATGAAACTAGTAAAGTATGGAATTAGTGAATTAGAAAAAGATTGAATGCAAATCAGAAAGAAAGGAAGGAGCGAGTTGAGAATGACTTCAGCATGCAAAGGTTTGAGGATGTCACATGATCAAGAAGTGTGAATGATTTCCTTCTCAGAGCATGTCTTTTTTTTAGTTGCAATCATTAGCATTAGCAATCAGTGTGTTATGAGTGTATACAGCAGTTCAAAACCTAAAAACCCAAATACATTTTGGGCAAATTGGTGTCTGTCATGAGATATACATTTTCATCATATTCCTACTATAGTGTGTTTCAACTTACAAATTAATTAAAAAAAAATCAGCAAGGATGCGTTAAACTGATCAAAAGTGATTAGTAAAGACATGTTAGATTATACATGTTTCTTGATGAGCATATTAGACTGATTTCTGAAGGATCATGTGACACTGAAGACTGGCGTAATCATGCTGAAAATTCAGCTTTGCGTCACAGGGACACAATAGAATACAATATAAAAATATTAAAATTGTAATTACATTTCATAATACTACATATTGATCTAATATATGAAGCATATTGGTGAGCATAAAAAACGTATTTCTTGTAAAATGTCATGCTGTCAATCAGCAAATTTTCAGATAAAATATTCATATTTCGTTATAAAAAAGAAGCCCATGTTAGGACAATTGAAGAAAAATTTTTTGGAAATAGGCTCATTTTACCACTCCCCCAGAGTTAAACAGTTGAGTTTTACCGTTTTCAAATCCATTCAGCCAATTTTCAGATATTTAGAAGAATATCAGTAACCAGACAGTTTCTGGTCTCATTGACTTCCATAGTAGGAAAAAAATATACTATGGAAGTCAATGAGACCATAAACTGTCTGGTTACTGATATTCTACTAAATATATAAAAAAAAAAAAAAAACGCTCAATGGATTCGAAAACGGTAAAACCCAACTGTGTAACTCTGGGGGAGTGGTAAAATGAGCCTATTTCCAAAAAAAGTGGAGTATCCCTTTAAGATTTCTTGCATTGCAATATCATCATGACAAATAAGCACACTTCAACCCATAATTCACATTACACTAATGCAAAAAAAAAAAAAAAAACTCTGGACACATTTTTTATTTATTTTAAAATGTTTGATTTACATTCTTTTTTCATTAAATTACTACCGAGAAGCACTTTTTCACAAAGCAGAAAAACACTGGTCCTAAGAGCAAGCTTCACTTCAGTGTAATCACGTACCTGCGCTGGTTCATCTCTTCTTCCCCTCCCTGGATCTTCCCAGGACCCCAGCTGTGTCTGCGGAACGGAGAGAGCGAGCGCACGCTGGAGCGGAAGAGAGAGGCGGGGAGCGGCACCTCGGTTAACCTGTCTTTGGCCTCCTCTTCTTGCCGTACCTCCTCAGAGCTCTCGGCCGAGGAGCTGGGATGCCCCACGCTGGCTGTGTCGTCTGTGGAGGAGCAGGAGACGGACACCTCGCTCGTGCTGTCACCTCCACCTACTGCCTCCTGACCCTGAGCAAGAAACACCAGCCAAAGTACAATTAACCAACAGGCAGATGAAACATTATTCAGCACAATAAAGTACTGTACTACATATCAGGATTGCCTATATCTCATCAATGATGAATGGAAAGTGTGCAAAAGAAAATGGTTCAAGCATAAATGCTGCCCAAAAATGCTCTTAAAAGGTATTTGACAAAGTACAAAGTTTTGTATCTTCTGTTTTTGTAGATATAGTGTTTTCAAAGTAGCATTGTGTTGAATTTCTTTAAAAATTCTATAATGGCAAATGTTATTTTAGTATTATTTATTTACTTTTAATACATTTCCATTTTTTTCCAGTTTTAGTTTTAATAAGTTTAGTACTTGTTTATATTTATTTCAACTTTTTTAAAATTAACTAAAACTATTTGTAATAGTTTTAGTTATCAATTACAACACTGATCCTGATCCTGAATAACAACAATGCCCTTTGCCCTTTTTATTGGTTGGTCAAACAGACAGTCCCGCACCAAAGCTCACGCCTTTGTGCCGGTCAGGATGCTCAAATTATTTTAGGGATAAATTAAATTAATTTAATTAATTTTAGGTGAACATCTTATAATATGATGACCTCTTAGATGTCAAAAGCTCAAGAAAAATTTGATTACTCAGTTCATCACCCATTTAACAGACAGCAATGACATTATCATAGTATTTGCATTTTTTATTGTTTTTAGAGTTTTTCCCCTCAAATTTAATCTAATAATCAAACGCATCTTATTTGACTCCTACTTACACTCCACTGTAAACGTGTCTGAACTGTAAGAGTTTATCTAAACTTGCATCACTCACTCACTCAAAGCAGTCGTGAGGTTTCTTGCCGTGAGGTTGATGAGTGTATCGTGCCGAGCACTGGTGGCGTGAGAGACAAGGTGAAGAGGATTTGAGCTTTTGACACACATTGAGGTTTTTGTTGGTGCTTTTGGTGGGGGATGAAAGCCCTCTATTCATTTGCCCCTGAAACAACTTCTATTGAGCATGTGTGCAAGGAAGCAGAGGGGGTGGTTTAGAAGCGTGTGTGTATGAGGTTTAAAAGGGTTCTAGAGAACTTAAAACCACGTGGAAAAAAAAAAAAAACTTCTGGTGGATTTTAACATTTAGGTGTCCTATATTAATTTTTTTTTTAAACAGAACTGTAGTCACATGATCACATAAAATGACCAATTCTGATATATATCATTTATACTGTATGCATCATATCGCAGGTAAAAAAAAAACACCACATTAATCACAATAATTTTATCTTATTGATAGCCATTGTTTTATATTTAATCTAACAGTGCTCAAAAGTTTGAAAATCCCTGTACTAAGGCATCACTTTAACCATTCCTAAAAACTTAGGTTAAGGATTTTTTAAAGCTCTTAAGTAACCCAGCATATTGTGCTACAGACATGAATTAACCCTTGAACAGAGTAGACTAACAATTTTCCCAGCTGGATAACATTGGGAAAAAAAAATCTAAATAAATAATTATAAAATACATTATAAAAATATACTATAAAATTATTTAAAATAAAATAAGTTAAAAATAACTTAGTAATTAAATAACTAAATTCCTAACTAAATCTATAAATATAGGAGACAGCCAAGACGTATCTAGAGACAAAAATAAAAAAATCTAACCACAAAATGTCCTATGTGGCAAATAACACTCTGTAGTCTGTTAATTCTTTCTCTTACCTTTTTGAAGAAATTGTCGTCTCCAGTGTCAGGACTGAGAAATCCATCTGTATCGCTGCCTGAGTCTCGAAATGTGACTGTTTCTGAATTACAAGTGTGAAACTCTGGATACTGTGAACTCTCTGCAACAAACACACAATGACGTGTGTCACAAAGTCTCAAAATAAGTTATCCTACTTAAGCCCAATGTTTAAACAAAACGTGGCATTTCCCCCTCAGAACAGATCCTTGTACAACAGCACATGTATTCACCACAGCAAACTCTGACAAACCTGGTGCGATACTGACAGATGCTTCAAAATGTTATAGCGTGGATAAAACCATATCACGTGGGAGAGGAAACCATCATGACACACCTAGAAAAAAAACCCGCCCGTTTCCTTTGCTCTCTCTCGCTTTCACTTTCTACTTGTTTTTTTTTTTAAGTGCAACACATTCTCTATGTACGCTTAGTGTAAGTGAACAGGATCTGGGATCAACACTAGTACAGTAGATCTGTCACAAGAGTGTGAGCTTTGTCAGCTGTCTAACTGCCCACAGGTGGCTCAATGTCTTGGGAAGTGAAGGAGGAGTCTCGCTAAAACCTCTACAGCTGCCCATTCTCAATGTGTGTGTGTGCTCTTAATGAACCAATGCTGTAGTAAAAGCAATCGTCATTACAAACAACTGAAAACATAAACACATGCCATGACAGGCCTCTGAGAAGAACGGCAGAATTTAGTGTCCATGTATAATCACAGTTACGTTTCAGTGACAAAACTATTGTCTGAATGTTTTTGACATGATTCATTCAAAAGGTGATGTGTCATTTTTAGTTAAAAAAAAAACAAAAATAAAAAACAAATCGTCAACACTGGGGCTCTGTATTTTTGCTTTTTAACATTGTATAATTTTTGTATTATTTTTTTTCCCACCTTTTTCCACTTGTGGTGTACACGGCCAAAAATGACCGGCCTACAATTTGCAGCCTATAAATATTTTGTTATGCTATATTATCACCAAATATTGGATTCAATCTTTTTGTCGACTTGCTTTATTTCAATTAGAACTTGATCGTAGGGCTCATTGATCTGACCTTATGGACTTCAGTTTTTGATCAATCAGTTTCAAAAATAAATACAAAACCTTATTAAAAAGGAAATATTTGTTTCACTGAAAAACTGAGGTGTATAAGCATTGATCAATAAGACCTACGATCAATCAGTTACAAAAACCTGTGCTGATTAAAAGAAATCAAGTTGACAAAAAGATTGACTCCAATATTTGCTGATAATGTAGCATAATGATCGATTTACACACAATTTTTAAAGGCCGGTCATTTTTGATTTTTGAAGGCGTTACAGGGTTTTCAACACAGTGCAAGGGTTAAATAAAATGTAAACGAGCTCATTCAAGCCCATTTCCAATCCGTCGAAATCGAAACACCAATCAGAAACGTTGGGGCAGTCTTTGACAGCGCTGGGATTTTAAAGCCGATTTTGTAGCTTACATTACAAAGATGAATGCCGCCGTCGAACATCACTCGTTCGAATCAGCTACCGCGTCTGTTTTAAACGATTTGAACGTTTCCATTTAGTTAAAAAACGAGCAAAGAACAACACTCGGAGCGCAACGCTCTGCATACGTCATCTCCTTCATCGCTCTGATTGGTTTTAGGTCTATCCGCGACGTCCGTTGGTGAAAAGATTTGTCTATGACGTTTTGCCAGACCATAGCTCAGTTACAACTGAGAATGGTCTGGTTTTAACCAGGCAATGCATTTATAACTATAGGAGTGATTCCAACTAAGTTGTGTGTTTAAGACAATCCAGTCAGGGAAGTCTAAGTGAAAAACAAAAACTATAGGTCATGACATATCCACAACAGAACAAACAAATCATTCTGTATGGTTGAAACACACTTTTCATTAAAGGTGCATTGCGCAACGTTGATTTCATGTTAAAAATACCCGTTTTTTCGAACCCATACATGCTTAAACAATTGCCTTCTCTGATCACTGCGATTGCCTCTACAATCCTGTACGGTAAAATAAATAATACGGATTCGGAATGTATTCACGCGCGTTCACGCTCACCTAGCTATGTCTGGCAGGTTTGTGTATTCGCCGCCATTCTCCGTATCAGCGAAGACCTCGAGCGACACAACTTTAGTCAACTTTCGACAAAAGTAGAAGAGGGATTTAAAGAGATCAGCTTGTAGTTCATTGCAAACTCCATGTAAGACAAAGAAAATAAAACTTTTGTCTAAGTGCCAGGCGTTGGAATAAGACGCGAGTCTCTCCGGTCTGCTCTAGGGCTCAAACGGGATCCTATACAAAGTAATAACTTATATTGTTCATGAACGTGTTTCCATAATAATACAATCATAAGTGGATATAGGAAGCACATAAAACAGTTCAACGTGGACATAGACGGAAACAAAAATCCTTTTCCCCTTAGACATAAGTGTGTAATTTACTCTAATTTAATACCTTTCCTTTCATATATTTAAAATGACTTGCAGATTTATAACTTTATTACCTCTGAAGACATTATGACTGTCTGTAACAAAAGATTTGTGCGGCTGATGCTCCTTTAGTTATGAACACACGTGCGTGTGCGTGTGGTCCATGAGCCTGCACAGCTCTGGTTGCAGTTTCGCTTGTCGCCAGAGGGGGCATAGTTTTGCAAAAACTCAGACACTTGCACAATGCACCTTTAAACAGGACATTTATCTTTTCAGCACTGCACCTGTGCACCATTTTTTGTTTTAATGTTTTTTTTTTTATATCAGCCACTGCTTGTGTATAGAAGCTGAATACACAGAAGGTACAGGTAAATATAAAGTCAGCATGTTCCTCTATACAAGCACTAGAGCCATTACTATCTTCTGTTCCATACTTCATTTGAGAACTAACATTGTTCAATCTCTGTAGACGTACTCAACCACAAACAACCCAAAGCTTGCAATCCGTACATACTGTACTGTATTGAAGCCTCAAAGGTACAAAAGTCAAAACAACCTATTCAATTCTGAGGGTCAGAGACAGGGTGGAAATGTTTTTGCTACAAGAAACGATGACTAACTTTACAGCTTGACTATCCTGCCTAAGTAGACAGCATCCCGACAGTCATGCAACCTCATAAGTGAGCACACATGCCACATTAAATGGAGCTCATCACATGAAGTGCATGAGCAATGTGACTCACGAATGATTCAAATAGAAAATGATAAAAACATGTTGCCAGGCTTACTTCATAAGCATAAAACATAGCTAGGAACCAAGAGCCAAAACTTTTTAGTATAATATATAAAACATACACTACCGATCAAAGGTTTCCAATAATGATTTATAATAATTGAGCAGCAAATCAACATATTAGAATGATTTCTGAAGGATCATGTGAGTAATAATGCTGTAAATTTAGCTTTGCCATCACAGGAATAAATTATTTTATAAAATATATTAAAATAGAAAGTACTTTTAAATTCTAAAAATAAAATACAAATCTGAATATGCTGTTTTGACTGTATTTTTAATCAAATAATTGAAGCCTTGGTGAGCATAAAGACATCTTTCAAAAACAACACAAATATAATTAATTATACCAAACATTTTATAATTTAGAGTTCATATTTCTCTGGACTCATTCAATGCTGACTTATTTAACCACTTACGGTCCTGTAACATTACCAACAGGGTTAAATTACAAATTGAAATATGATCTTCGGTGTAATTTGTATAATTACATATGAAGCCATAAGATAAACTAAGACCCTACCAGGTAAATAATAGCATTGGTCAATGTCATCAACAATATATGATAGCAGAGATGTGTGTTCTTACCTGTGGACAGGCTGTGTCTCTTCTGAGAAACACTGGAACACAGTGAGTCTTTGTCTCTGTGGATCTGGAGACAGAAAGAGGAAGATATGGTTTAATGCATGTGACTGTCTAACTGGAAAGAATTGCTTGACATACTGAAATAATAATAATAATAATAATAATAATAATAATAATAATAAACATCAGATGCATGACAATACAACTTGAATTTGGGATAACAAAATGAGGGTTGCTAACAAAAGCATAGGCAACAGGGAAACAGAAGCAGGGTTTTCGCACACATATGCTCAGAGACTGCAGCATACATGAATTTTGAGCTCAGTCTGTGGTTTGTGGAGCCCATAACAGCTGCATCTCAATCATTATAGACCACACACCACCTTACACCAGCCCTGAGGGACAACGGAGGCTTCAGAAATCAAATATGAGGATCAAATGATGAGATGGTCCCCCACAAGCCAGACAACCAAACAAACTATACTGCTGATTGGATTCAATCCAATTACATAGAAGAAACAAAGGCTGCAAAGGTAAAATCAGCATATAAATACAGATAAATATATAAATACAGCATATAATACAGATTCAGCTCAAATATGATGTGTGTAAAGAGAAGTTGTGTGCTACTACAGTGAATTCCCTGTCTTCTTAATCCAAAGTTACATTTAATAAAATAATTTGTCCTTAGTTACCAGCAAAATATATGGAGCTAAAAGAGAAAATTAAGAAATTGAGAAAATATTAGCATGTAGGCTAACTATAGGCTGAAAACCTGCCATTGTTATATGAAGTGTGCACTTTTTTTGAAAAGCTTTGATTGTGGCTAAATAAATACCTGATAAACATACATGTGGCAACACATTCGTTGAATTGAAACAAGTGTGCCTCGAAAGTCCTGAAAAGTGAAGCCAAAACGTTTTGATCGCCCCCATGTGGTTGGATGCAGTATACGTCATAAGCCCTTTCCATGTAATCTAATGGGATGTGAGACACTAAACTAAAGTCAAATACATTTTTTCCAAAGATGGTGTCTGTCATTTTAGGTAGTTTTTTTATCATGCTGATGTAAGTTCAAGCGCTCTTTTTTTAAATAAGTTTGGTTTTAGTTAGCTATTTGATGCTATAAAAACGAGAGTGTGACTTCATGATTCTCTGAGGGAAGTAGTCACTAAGGCACCAATGGACTTTTTTCGGGATTTTCGAGAGGAGATTGGAGCTGCAACTTTAATTTCTACATTTCGATAACTGTTTATTTCACACGACATGAGTTGTCCTGCAGTAAACTACTAACTGATTCTGAGGGAGTGTGGGCGGGGGATGAGTGTGGGCGGGGCTCCAAGATGACAGCACCATATTTGGACATTGGCTGTTTCACTTCTCTTCAATGGAAGAGAGCAATGGTAGTCTTTATTTTTATTTTTTTTAATAGACTATGGTTTATACACCTTGTTGCACAGCCATACGCTAGTGAACTACATGTAGGGGCCGTTTACACAACACCGCTTTACAACTAAAAATTGGAAACTTTTGACGGTCCATTAGCGCAAAAAGGCCATTTAGGTGCCTGAAAACAAACTTTTGAAAATCGTTTTGATGACGTTGTTGTGAATACGAAACACACTAAGTAAGAACTGTTGCATTTTCAGTACATCCCTGTTGTGTACCCAAAGGCAGAAACATTTATTGCAATTATTATAGTAGTAAACACTTATTTATTATATGCTACCGGTCAAAGATTAATACTTTTATTCAGCAAGGACACATTCAAAAGATGTTACGAAATATTTATACTTCTATAAAATGCTTATATTTCTATTAATTGAAGAAACGTGAAAATATTCCATTAAAATATTCAATGAACATTGGAAAAACATGCCAAAATAGAAAAAAAGCATCATTTTAATTTGTAGTAATATTAGGAAATATTGTTTTTACAGTAGTTTAGATCAAGTCCATTGTGAATATAAGACAATTCTTTTAAAAACCATTTCAAAATCTTACCTAAACTTGTGAATGCTAGTGTACATAAATGTAATTGTCTTTTATCACATTGCTTACGTCAACATAAAAAAAACACTATATAATGCGTGTTTTGCCACACCTCATTTGTTTCACACACACTAACTTAGGTCACATATATCTTGGAACTAAAAAGCATTAAAGTCAAGGAGCATTTGGGTCTCTTGTGTATCTACTGTACATCCTTTTTCAAAGAGCAGTTGCAGTCTGTATTAAAAGGCCCAAACACTGGCATGCCTGATTGCCTACTATATGTCAGCTTTTGATCTGAGGCACTGAAAGGGTGAGTTCATACAGTCTATTGGAAATGTTTACACAGATCTCATGTTACGGGGAGTACTGGTACTGAACAGCAACCTGTACAAATCTCCCACAATAGAAAGCCTGTATTAAAGCGACCTGCACTGCTGATGGTTATTCACTCGGCTGGAAAGCACATTCGCCTTTGTTATAATCCAGCTACAGGGTCACACCGGCGATTCAAGATGGGAGGTGGGAGAAAAATGGTCAGCAAAGGATACCAAGAGGGAGGGAATACAGGAGAAAAACGTGAATAAAAAAGGAGGAGCGAGAGAAATCGCTTCTGATTTGACCCAGGAGCAGCTCACATTTCCATCCTGGCCAGGGAATAATTATGTTCTCACCCTTTGAGCTTGTCGAAAACCAAGTAGCTATGCACAGCTTTAAAGCAATTAACAATGCACAACACTCCATTGATGAGCACGTCCACGCCAGGGCTCTGACTATCGACTGTGTGCCTCTGGGAAGGAGAACACTGCTGTCTGTTGTCCCGAGCACAGACCCTGCCTACAGACAGGCCACAAAGCACAAGCACACACTCTTTGGGTTATTTGTAGCAGTTCCCATCATAGTGTGATGGTATCTCACATCCACTGTCGCTGAAAAACAAATACTCTGATGGTAAAAAGATTATAGAAGAAAAGAGCTGTATTGCTGCTGAGGCATAGGTGTCTAGTACAAGAACAGCGGTCGAACTACAGTATAAATGAGATCTCAGTTTATGAAATTGAGGGTTTGTGTAATTGCAAAGTGTTTGAGATGCTTTCATTGGATACATTGATCCTTATGGGGTTTTATTTTATCATACACTAGCATTCATAAGTTTGGGGCTGGTAAGATTTCAATGTCTTTGAAAGAAGTCTTTCTTTCTTTTTCTCGATTCTAATATGTTTTATGTCTGTCTGTCAGTAAAATATACAAGATAAAGAGGGACTTAATCGCGATTAATCGCATTAATGTCTTAGTTCAGTTGCGATTAAAGGAGTAGTTCACTTTAAAAAAAAACTTTTGCTGATAATTTACTCACCCCCATGTCTTGTTTTCTTCAGTCGAAAAGAAATAAAGGTTTTTGATAGATAAAATAGGACTTTTCTCCATATAATGCACTTTTTACTGGGATCCAAATGGTTCAAGGTCCAAAAGACAGTTTCAGTACAAACTGCAAACTGTTCAGTGGGCTTTAAACGATTTAAATGTCTGGAAAAGGCTTCCAGACGATGAATAAGGGTCTTATCAAGCGAAATGATCGCTCATTTAAAAAAAAAAAAAAAAGTTTAAGTTTTTCATCCATTTCCTGACCATCTTTTTTTCCTCTGTTCTCACAGTGACCGAAAAAGTACATTAAATGCTCGCCTTGCTCTGTTCTGTGATAAGCGTTCGTGACTCTCCTGTTTGAACTCGTTCATCAAAATGAACGAATATTTTCCCGAGTCAATTCGTTCATTTCGTTCGCTGAATGAACCAAATGACACGAAAAAAGATTCGTTCATTTTGATAAATTAATTCAAACAGGAGAGTCACGAACGCTTATCACAGAACAGAGCAAGGTGAGCATTTGAGCTTATAAAACTTAAACTTTGTTATTGTTTTTTTTAAATGATTGATCGTTTTGCTTGATAAGACCCTTATTCATCGTCTGGAATCGTTTAAAGCCTTTTGAAAAGTTTGCAGTTTGCACTGAAACTGTCTTTTGGACCTTGAACCGTTTGGTGGCCAGTAAAGTCCATTATATGGAGAAAAATTCTGGAATGTTTTCATCAAAAACCTTAATTTCTTTTTCGACTGAAGAAAGAATGACATGGACATCTTGGATGACATGGGGGTGAGTAAATTATCAGCAAAAGTTTTTTTTTTTTAAAGTGAACTACTCCTTTAACTGCACATATTTATCTATTCTAAATGTCTCTTGATTTCTCATTTTAATGCTCTTATCAACATGGAAAAGTGGATCGGCTTGCTTTGTGCAAATATTTTGTTTTTTTTGTTTTTATTATTGAAAACAACATTGGCATACACTGTGTTCAATTCTGACACTAACATTCTCACTTGGAGCAAATAATCTCTCACACAATGTAACACTGCCCATCAATAAAAGGGTGTAAGAAACACTGATGAGGTACTGACATTGACAAGGGGGTGGAGAATTCACATCAGCTGTGTGTGTGCTTGGCCATCATCTAGTGGTATTTCAGCTGCGATGATGATAGCTCAGTTCACAACGACAAAACACACAGATCACTTTGGTCTTGTCAATGGAACCAAAGTAAACTTTCCATTCAGAATCTTATTGGCATCCATTTCGGCGTCTCACGCTCGTCATCCACTCAAAACGTAATGTTAACCTATGATTTGGCTGGCTTGCAAGCCCAATCAAGTGTGTGCGGCGTTGTGCCTACTGTTTTGTTTCCGGTCTAGATCCGCTCGCTCTTTTGTCGATGAAGCAACAAAACGTCCTCGTGCGGTACAAGCCATTGAAATGAATGAGTTTCATAGCTCAGCGCCGCATCCTGTTGCAAAAGCATGTGAAAAAAATGACAAAGTTTGCTAGGCCAAAAAGTATGGAAGCTTGTTTCCGCCACTGAATGAAAAATATAAAAGGTTATTGCGACTTTTTATCTCACAATTCTGACTTTTTTTCTCACAATTGTGAGTTTACTTCTCGCAATTCTGACATTATTTCTCAGAATTGCGAGATGGAAAGTCAGAATTGTGAGATATAGAGTCAGAATTGCGTGATATAAAGTC